TGATCAACTCCACCGTAGCGAAACACATGACTGACATAATCAATAATATATTACAGTAAAGTAAATACGAGCCGGCAGACCTGCCAACTTTTGAAAACCTCCATGGGGGATTTTCCCAGGGGAAAAAAATTCAAATGTATCGCTTCATCTTGTGACTGTTTTTTTTTTTATAATGTCCAGTAGAAAGTATTTCATGTATATTTAGGATCAATTTTGGTTTGTTTCTTGAACTCTTGAGATTGTTTTGATGCTGTGTGTATCATTCTGTGTAAAGATGTTTCTTTCATTTGGTTCATTTGTTTTATTTGTTTTATTTCAGTGTTATATTTGTTTTATTTCAGTATTTTATTTGTATTTTCACTGTATCTATTTAAAATAAATAGATTCAGGTCATTCTGCCATTTTTCAAGAAAACGGCATGGCAAACGTTTCTTCTTGCTGGGTGGAGTAACAACCATTGTGATAGTTTGAACTGTTATGATTCAATTCCATTTTTCATATCCTTTTATAACAATTGTCTCAATGTGCAAACAGCATCCAAGCCTTTACGTTTAATTTGCAAAATTCCTTTGATCAGTTATAATTAAGATAATTATTAACTATGTTCACCTGATTAAAGAATTTTTTTAACTAGTTAACTTGATTATAATATAATTAATCTCAATTAAATGATAAGTAAAAAAATTAAAACAGTTAATTATGTAACTCCCAAGCTGATCGGTATAAATAACAAAGATCTATAATTTTATTACCAATTAAGGTAGATCATAGGTATATATTTCCTCAGATAGAATTTTTTTATACTTTGCCAAAATAAAGATTTTTCTATGCCTTTTCCAAAAATATAATAAAAAGTATGGGTCACCGTGCTATTTTTCAAGCTACGGGTCGTACGAAATTGCACAAATTTGCTTAGATTGTTCATGAAAAAACACACTTTTGTGCATAAAAAGAAATCTATGAGATAGAATTTTGAAATAAAATATGAAAAGATAGGTTTTATTATATGCTTTAAGAAAATAAAAAGAAAAAATGGTGTCACCGAACTTGTTTTCTTGCTACAAGTAAAAAATTAAAATTTCCCTATCAGTCCAGTATAAATTTTTTACTAAAAGAGTTATCTCCCCTTAAATGGCCAAGTTGAAAAAATGATTCTAAAAACACATTTATTTGGTATTTATTTAAACATTTTGGATAATGCAATAAATCACCAAGTTTTCTTTCATCAAATAAACAGTCTAACCTATAAATTGCCTATTTGTCTCCAAATTTGTAGATTTAGGCAAAGATCTAGACCGATTGTGTACTGCGATTGTACAATCCAAGATGGCGGTATACCATGAATCTACCTTAAGACCCATAAAACTTTGACAAATCATTGATTTTATTGAGGCACGTGTATATGTTTACATAATACTTAGTGTCAAAACAGATCGATAATCCTCAGGTAAATCAACATGACCCGAATATCAGATACTACGATGAATTTGATTGGATAATATCTCTATGTTGTCCTCCATTACCGGAAATCGGTAAGAATAAAATTTTCTCGGGTAGAATTTATGAAAATCGGGTTTTTTGCTTGTTTTAGGAACCCGATATCGGGATTCGGGTTGAGGCATGAAAATCGGGATAATACCGCCAAAATCGGGATAGTTGGCAGGTCTGCGAGCGAAAAATATCTTTATAAGTAAAGAATTGTCGTATAAAAATTAAATACACGGCCGGGAAATGGCAAAGTTCACGAAGTCCAGTCTGAGTCTTTCACAAAACTTAATAACATCGTGTTATTCATTTTAAACGTAACACAGTACTAACAACAATAAAGATAATCCAATCAATTTTGTTGATTGGATAATTCACTGCTCAGTAGTTGTGTAATCAGTGACACGTGCCCTCATTATTTCATAAGAATTAACATATCTATCTAAATTCGATTTCAAATTCTACCAAAATTTAACTCTTAAATAAGCAGCGTGTAACGAATATATTCATCCATCCTGTGTGCAAATACGATGACTATAAAGGGTCCTGAGTGCACATTGTATGTCCTGAGTGCACTCAGGAGGCCCTGAGCGGTGTTTAGACGTACCCATTTTGGTCTGCTGTTGACATTATTGGGTGCAATCAACAGTTTTTTTTTCTATGACGTCATATTTTAAGGGACCATGCCTAAGTGACCCTTAGTGGTGGAATGGTTAATAAAGATACTTGTATAAAACTAGATATTACTGGAATCAGAATTTTCTCTAGTTTATATTGAAATAATAATATACTGTACTTTTAATATAGTAAAAAAGTTCTATCCAGAGAAAATGGGGAAAAAGTTGCCTAATCTGAACATAAAAAACCTGAAATCAGGTCATGTGCATACCCATGTAAACATGATACAGGCACATTTCCCATAATCAAAACTGTATGAAATTCATAGGTTTTTACCTGGCCTTTAATAAAAATCTTGATTCAGGGTACGGTTTCCTGCTTCGAAAAGAGCTACAGTGGCTGCAAATAAGTTTTCAATTTTCACTGCCAAAAAAACAGGATGTTTACAGTGTTGTCTCCCCTCAAAACATGAATATTTAATCTTATTTTTAAAATTATTTTAATCACTCAACCTGTTTAATTTGAAAGCTAATTAACTAATTTTTACAATCAAATACAAAAAACATGATACTTTTTCACCAATTATATGAATAAAAAGGGATTTCCCTCCATGGTTATTTTTAGTCGGGGAATAACCCCTAGTTTTTTATACGAAACTGTTTATAGCATCCATTGCCTTTCTGTACTTGTAGTTGGAGATTTAATTCAGGGGAACTAACTTTTGGTGCACATACAATGTAGGTGAAGTGTCAAAATATTATTTTATTTTGATTCTTCTTATTTTCTCATAAAATTTTGATTTATAAAATTATTATTTAAACAATCTGATATTTTTCATGTTTTTAAATCATAAATTATTGATTATTTTGGAAATATTTAACAAAAATAGAATAGGTGGAAATGGGTGTTGGGGGGTATTTTAACTGAAATTTTACGGTATTTTAAACAATTTGCCATCGATGGATTTTTTATATTTTGTAGAACTAAGATCAAAATTTAATACGAAATATATTTCATTCATTTATTTTCTACATTTACGGAGAACCAGGGTCTCAAACTTGACGTAAATATGAAATATATAAATCTAGGCTTCATAAATAGCATCCTATACGAAATACTGATGATGGAATTCTTTCATTATATTGCTTTTCATAATCTACAATATATATTTTAATCATATCATAAACCAAAAATTAGGTGGAAATGGCATTGGGTGATTTTAGAGGTCTCAACCATTACCAATTTTTAATGGTATTTCCGACCTTTATCACTGAAATATGCAAATTAGGTTGTTACTATATATAGCCTCAACTAAGAAAAGTCTGAAATATTTTTTTTAATTCCTTAGACATCTATGAACTGAAAATCCAACCTAATTAGGAAAATTTCAAACCACCCTTCTGGACAATTTTTACAATTTTGCATGTTTTTATGTGAGACAAGCACTTAAGAGCTGAGCAGAGTGATACAGACAGAGGGACAACCGATAAATGGACTTAGTTTTTTTTACAGTTAACATTCAGATTTAGTCTGAGGTTTAAGTTTTCAGTCATTAATAACTTTGTCAAACCTGCATAGAAAATTATGAAATTTGGACAGAAGCTTGTTTATGACCAAATTAATTCACTTTCCAGAGCAAAATTTTTATTACAGTTATTTTCATTTTTCCATATTTTACTGATAAATTGACTTGGTTTTATTACAGTTAACAAGTAGATACAGTCCGCCCGGGTTAAAGTTTATTACACAACAAATTAATTTGTCAAACCTTCAGTGATTTTTATGAAACTTTGGCAGAATCTTTTTAATGATTAAGAGATAATGTCTGAAGCAAACCTTTGAAAATATATTTTTTTCATTTTTAGTATTTTTCTGATAGATGGACTTTGTTTTTTTACAGTAACATTTATAGACAGTCTGGGTTAAAAAAAAATTGTCATGATAAATTTGTAAACCTTATTGAATGTTATGAAACTTGGACAGAAGCAAATCTTCAAGACCAAGAAATAGAATCTAAAGAAAAAGTTAGAATTTTTTTTTAAATTCTGTATTTTACTGATAAATGGACTCACTTTTTAAGTCAACATTACACTTTTACACTGACAGCAGCAATCGCAGGCGAGACATAGGGTTCCGCGGAACCCCTTACGAATTTTTATAGATTATTTGCTTAATAGAATTCAGTGTATAAAATAAAGGCATTTAAGTCAGTATTATATAGAGGAAGTAAAAGTAATCTGTTTGGATAGACCCTAGCCATTTGCACATAAATAACCTCATTAAAACCATACTTATATGCTTCTGTCTTATAGTCGCCATCCGATTCGACCAGCCCAACCTATTTCAAAACCAAATAAAACCTACCAAAAGGTATTAATACATTCTTTAACCATGTTCTTTTCGTATATATTTGTTTTAAAGAAACATGAACGGATTAAAGAAAGACGGAAGAATACACTACGTTTTATAATTTTTTTGTGATCCATTGAAGTAAAAGTTAGTTAAACTAAGTTACCGAAAATGCTTACAAGGCATTTACAAGGAAACAGGAAATGATCTTGTTTTTCAAAGTTCAATCATATGATACTTTAATCACCAATAATAATGCATCATCATACCATGTGCAACATAACAAACGTGTGGTTAAAAGTTAAACAGGAACTGTTAACCTGCTAATCGTCCCGAGCACTTAAGTTTCCCGGTCCTTAGTGAACATTGTGTGTCTTCAGTTGTTTGTTTGTAAGTCCGCTTTTTTTTTCTTTTCGTCTTTTTCTGTTTCTTATGGTTGTGTCTTTTCCCTTTTCACTGGCTGTCTCATTATGCTCCTATTTCTCTTATCTTAAAATGATTTTGTTGTAACTGTTTTGTTAAATATACTTTTTCAATAATACTTCTAGATATTTACATGGTGGCGCTGATAGTGGTTTCAGACATGTTAAACCAGAAGAATATCAGCCAAGACTTTTTCATTTCCATGGTGATAAATTTGGAGTAGAAGTTAAGGAGGTAAATTTTCCAAACTTTAGCTTTATTTATTCATTTTGGCATCAATTTAGATATCGAAGAAATTACAAATAGCAATATTTTACATGAAAGAGGACAAAGAGGTATAGGTATTTATTTCATCGACAAGGTCAAATTCCGAAAGTTGTTGAAACGGAGTAGGATTAGAATATACAGAGTTAATGGGTTCGTAAGCAGTGGCCTGTTGCAATAAACAAGTTTCTACCCTTATCCAACAAACCTTCATTTTTCCAGTCGTAATCGCTGTTCATCCCAGTCAACCCACTTTTTAAAACCTACATATTAGAATTTTTGTAAAAAAATGCCCTCGTTCTGAATATGTAAGAAATATTTCCCATTGGACGTTAAGAAAACAACAACAAATCAATCATTGAATGTCTCAAACTATCCGAATTCCTTGTTATCAGTTACATTGTTTTATTGTCTATAAAAAATGGCTTCATCGTTATGTACTGTTGCAAATGCTAGTATAAATTAAAGGTTCATGAAGTACATCCCTTATAATGACATTATAGTAAATGCAACAATCGTAAGTATTCCCCGCATTGGACAATGTCATTATAATGTTCATATGTTAAAAACGTTTATCTTGCCTTGTCATTACCATTATTTTTGGAATTAATATACAGCTATAAAGAGAAAATAAATTCTTTGAGTCTGAACAACTTGAATGAATGCATGAATACTACTTAGAAATATATGAAACTGAGATAATATATTATTCGATATTTGAAAATTACAGGTAACAAGAAAACGAAGCAATTTAGATTCAACAGACGTATATATTCTTGACATGGGTGCAAAAATATATCTCTGGCTGGGTAAAGGTTGCAATAAAGATGAAAAATTCAAGGTACATATCCTTTTCATGTTTTGTATCTATACTGTTATATGTTCTTAAACAACCCTGTATAGATAAATACCAAACGACGAATTGAAATTTGCAGTGAATTCATTTAAACTGAACTTCAGTCCACTTTCCAATCTTAAAGAAATATATTCTTACTTTTGAAGCTAATTAAACAAAACTTTTATTAAACTTTGAAAATGGTATAAATATTTTTTATACTTACATGAATAAAATATTTCTTGCAAACTTAGAAATATTGATATTTTAAAACCTGAATTTATAGGGCCTGCAGTATGTCAATGCTCTGAAAGATGAAAGAAGAGGAAAGAAGACCGAAACAGAAACTTTAGAAGAGGAAACAACCTCAGACTCGGTAAGTACATTTTTGATACCTATATGAACATCTAGAGAAAAACAGTAGCAGCAGAGCATTGCAGTTTTATTTTCTTTAATATAGGTTTTGATTGGGATTAATCTTTTTCGATATTGTTAACTCTTATTTCTAACATGAAAATTTGTATCCAGCTAATATTTTTAGTAAAAAGCCGGCGTTTGCAAGTTTCATTGTTAGTGTAACGACAACCACTAATGATGGGCCATGATAATAATTGGAAGCAATTATAGCAACAACTTATGCAATTTGAGCGAAGAATAGTGTTGCTGCATGTTTGATAAGCTTAAAAATATATAATGGAATGGATTCCGCCTTGAGAGACAAATCAACTACCACTAAAAGTGTACTTTCAAGACAATTGTTGTCTTTGATATCATTAAACAGCTGTGACTGTGTAATGTGATCTTTCAAAAATGTTAGAAATCCGATACTCATCACAGCGTATATGTCTCTAAAGGTTTCATTTGCGACTATTATTTGTCTTTTGAGAATCATGTATTATAGATCTAATATGTATCATTGATTTTTTTCTCACCTGCGACGAAAGGCGAGACAGGTGTTGCTTTTCAGGCGGTGGCGTTGTTAGGCAGCGGCGAAGTTAGGCGGCCTCAACAATTGTTAAGTTTTCTGGTTAAATCAGTTTGATAGGAACTACTCGTGATAATATCAATGATATTTTCTATAAAGTTGTACTATTATCAGTACATATCAGTTTGACGACCATTTCGAGGCCCTGCCGTCTAGGTCATGGGCCAGTGACTTTGAATTAATAAACAATGTTGCTGTCCTTCAGATTGTTTTTTTTTAATTTTCTCCTGACAGGATAGACATTTCTGTGTCAACCGTTTATTTGTTGTGAGATGTATATACACATCAAGTAAACCTGTTTGACATTGCCTATTCATTCATGGTCCTTTCACTTGACATTCATGCAATTTATGATACACGTACTATACAAGTATCCATTTTCTTAAACGGTCAAATTACTTCTGTTACAGTTTTGATATTAAGTATGCACAGTATTCATACAGTATTCATAGCTGTATTGGTGATATTTAGAAATTTTGGGCAGGTGTTGTATTATAATTTTTTGACATATCGTTAATACCAGTTCTAAAGTATTCATAGCTCTACAGGTGATATTTAGAAATTTTGGGCAGGTGTTGTATTATAATTTTTTTGACATATCGTTAATACCAGTTCTAAAGGGCATTGCATGTGTTTGGACAATGGCAGGGATGATTACAAAACCTGAGAGAAAAGTTTAAACTATATAGCAAAGGTTTAAATACGTTTAAGATCTAAATAGCCTCCTGTGAATTCTTCATAATCCTTACGAGAGAACTACATGTTTGTTAATTCTTTACCATTGGAAATTATCGCTGTTCATGACAAAATACCGGACATTTTTTTTTAATGTAGGATTCAAAGAATCTCAGCTAGCGTAAGCAATCAAGTTTTCATTGAGATTTACAAATGCTACACGACTTTACTTTAGCTCCTGGTAACTAATGTTTAACTCTTCTGTTTGCTGTAATAGTATTAAAGTGTTTGCCAAAACTTTGCATAATTGTTGAACGACAAAGGAACAATGCAATGCCTGTTATGACTAAGAAGATAACAGTTTTTTTGAGTCCTTGTGTAACTATGAAGATACGTTTCACACCTTATTTCTAATCAACTTCGTTTGGATGCACTTTTCAAAGTTAACACTAAGACGGCAATTGTATGTAATCTATATGCAAACTGTTAATTATGTTGTCAAAATATATTGGTACAATATCCATATTTAAGTCGCCTGTCGTATATACTCGTATAAATCAGTGTACAAGGGACAAATTCTACAGGTCCTTGTGAATAGTTCATTATTTACTAGATGATTACTTAATTATGATTTTTTTTACAATTTTAGGACGAATTTTATAAAGCTTTAGACCAAGGGGATGAAGATGATTTTGATAGCAGTTCTGATTTTGTTTCTTCAAAAACAGAAAAAGAACTTTACAGGTATGCTTTCCATATATTCAACATCAGAAAGTTGTGTACTTAAAGGGGCACTAGCTGTCAAATTCATGTTCACCGATTTGACTCAAATTCTCATATTTGATTTATAACAATGTAAAACATTTATCCAAATTATAAAAAGTCTAAGATAAACAATATACCGGGCATGAGCTCGTTATATGTAGCTTCGTTTTGTGTGTATTTTAGTCTAGACGCCATCTAATTAACTGTCGAGTTGACCTCCGAACACCTCCGATTGCCATATAAGCGATATAAACATAAATATAGATATAAATAGATATCAGACTCGTGCATTTGGATTTTTCTAGGTCTGTTTAATTTCATATTATAGATTAAAAATATATGTTAATCATCGTTTTTACTTGTATAAGAATGATTTTTTGTGGATCGAATCAGTCAATCAAATGATTTACCTTTGTTTCACTTTCAATGTTTACATTCTTTTCATTTAAATAATTGAACACGCACAAAGCATGTTCAAAAGGAGGTTAAATTGAAGTTCACATGAATACGGATTCAATGAGGTCGAATAATTCACTTGCAAGTGAATAATTCATCATCAATGTTTCTTAGCTTATTTTGACAAAATTGAACCATAATGGCTGCTAAAAGCGATATATTATTTCACTATTTCACTTTTATTATTGATTGAACCAAAAAAATCATATTTTATATTGTTTATATATCTTGTAGCTAGTGCCTCTTTAAAGCTATAAATAAGAGGGAAATAGTCCTATGTTAACAATAAATAAGAGGGAAATAGTCCTATTTTAACAATTGCTACAATTTTGAAACATTTTTGCAAAAATCCTTTTATAATATATATAAATTTTAATAAAACTCTGACTTTTTACACCCTGTTGTATCATAGAACTTGATAAAGCAATGCTCAACATCCGTACATCGGGTGGGTCTTTTCACCACCGAACACCACCGAACACCGCCGAACACCCAAAAAAACCATCAACCACTAAGAAAATCAGTGATTTTATACAATAAAACGGTAAAATCAATTAAATTACGTCTAATTTAAAAAATTTTTAGATGTTTATGTGCATCGTTTTTCTATTAAAGTCCATTATCAATATAATCAATATAAAGAAAAACGTCTCCGGATTCATCACTATTTTTCCGGATTACATTGTGTGTGTATATGAATCATTTGACATCAATTACTGATGAAGGATATTAGTTATCCGAAATATTTAACATTTGTTCATGTCTCTTTTCTTATTATTGGTACAACTATTTTATAAAAGAAGAAAAAAAATGGAGAAAAAAATTATTTGAGGTGTCCAGTGGTGGTTTGCAGAGTTGTAGTGTTATAGACTCTCCTTTTCTGTTCGATGTAGATATTTGTTCTCTTAACCTTATTATTTGAATTATTAATTGAAATATTATTGAATTAATAACTTAAATATTATATTTAGGTCACATTTATAACAATAAGAAATAAAAAAAAAATATTTTGGGGTGTTCGGTGGTGTTCGGCGGTGTGTGGTGGTGTTCGGTGGTGAAAAGACCTACCGATGCTCAACATCCGTACATCTTTGCATTTTTATATCCTTTTACCTTTAGAGTCGTCAATCAAAAAACCAACCATCTTTATCATGTCAGTATCAGAGAACTTGATTAAGCAATGCTCAACATCAGTACATCTTTGCATTTTTATTTCCTTTTACCTTTAGAGTCGTCAATCAAAAAAACAACCATCTTTATCATGTCAGTATCAGAGAACTTGATATTAAAGCAATGCTCAACATCGGTACATCTTTGCATTTTTATTTCCTTTTACATTTAGAGTCGTCAATCAAAAAACCAACCATCTTTATCGTGTCAGTATCAGTTGTTTGAATCAGAGTGGTTTTTACAAAGTGTATTTAGTCCCTCCCTAAAACAAGATACTTGTTTCTACGTTGGTCATTGTCATTTATGAAGCAAAGTTGGACTTACTATTTCAGTCTGTCTTCAAGCAAAGAACGAGGAATACTTATCTGTAAGGTAGAGAAGTCAAGTTTTTTTTATGCAATTAAACGATCAGAGGAACTAAAAATGAATGTGCTCAAACACATCTATGGCCTTTTTTAGTATCCACATCTAATTCACATCACCCTTAGAGTTGAAATTTTCGTAGCTACTTTGAAGCCAGATTTTGATTGATAAAACAGTTTGTGATGAATACAAGAGGTTTCGTGGAGCATTTGATAGATCCAACAAAAGAAAGGCGAAAGATATCAAATAGATATTCACACTCATAAGTTTAAGACAAGCTGACAACGCCATGACAAAAAACGAAAAACGAACGAAAGAAAAACAATAGTCTACAAAACACAACATAGAATACTTAAGACTGCAACATGAATCTCACCAAAAACCCGGTGCTCCAGAAGGATAAGCAGATCCTGCTCCACATGTGGCACTTGCGTTGTTTGCAAGGACACTTATGCAAATTCTGTACCCAATTAAGTGAAGGAAGATCCAGTTCTAAAATAATTAGCTAAAAGTCCGAAGGAACATAACAAATTAAAAATGTATAATTTATTAAGAGTTTCTATTAGTGAATGTCAGTTGTAGTTTATGTTGGATTTTCAAGTTTGCAATGCCTAATTCCCTAAAAGAAATTTATAAAGAAACGTTTTTGGGGTTTGGAATAAGCTCTTTTGACTGGCGGCAGTCTAACATATTTAATTCAAACATGGAAATCTCATTGAAAATTTTGTCAAAACCTTTGTATGATGATGGAAATATACAAAATTGTTTATTGGAATCAAATATAGAACTTAATTGTTTTCTGTAGGTTATCTGATGAGAGTGGAGAAATGAAAATGACTTTGGAAAAGACGGGTCAAGTACAACAGAATGATTTAAAATCAGAGGTAATTTAGTTCATTAATCATTATTTGTTGAACAAAAAGTTTCTTGAGTATGTAGAAAAATACTTGCCTCGTCAATATTCCCTGACTAGTAAAAGAGTTAAATCAATGTTTTAATACACTGAAATTTTAAATTGTTTCTAGAAAAGAAAAGGGGAAAAAATAAAAGTTAAAATAAATATGTTTTTGCAATGCATAAATATTTCAAATGTTCTGATACGATGTTTCTTTTCGATTTTTAAGGATGTTTTCATATTGGATATACAAGATGAACTATTTGTATGGATTGGAAGGGAAACTACATATGCTGAACGCAAAAATGCCATGACATATGCACATGTAAGTTAACAAATTAATGCATCTTCAATTTTTTTCATATACAAATATGTACAAATTATGTAATTTGAATATAGAGGCCAGCAATTCAATGAACAATATCTTAAATCCTTAACAGAGGTCAGCAATTAAATTGGAGAATTGACTCAATCAGACAGAGAAACCTTGTACAAGAATAAGAAATGTCTCAAAATCAGATAAAAAATGTCTATCAGGTCATTCAATATAAACATGGTTTTGAAAATGTGTTGAAAAAGACAATTTAGCAGATGCAATTTGAAGAATCAAGTCTTGAAATAAATGAAAAAGCACCTTGATGAAATTAAAGACGCTTGTCAGTTCAATTAAAGAACTGTAATTTTTTTGTTTTGATCCCGTCCCTCAGTGATACTCCACTGACTTTGAAAGTTTTGCCGTTTACATTTTTTTAAGTAGTGTAACTTGATATTTCAACTTCATATGATAAAATCGAAGTAACATACAGGAGAGATATGTTCTGTGTCAACAGTTTATAAATATGTTCAGGTGTTACGATTTTGTTTTTTGTACTCAAATGATGTATCTTATTTATATGAAGCAGTAATAACCAAAATAAGAGATGAGTAATATATATGATTAGGAAATGATGATTTGTGTCCTCAATACTTTAAACACACACGCAGACACACGTGCGAGTTTTGTTATTCTGAAAAATATATATAGTCAATGATGAATTCTAAACTGAATTAAATTTATTTCAGAATTATTTAATGAAAACAGACCATCCATTGGTGCCTGTTAGCTGTCTTAATGAAGGAAAGACAACAAAGGCATTCCACTCTGCAATTGCGGCATAAACAATCAAAACTTGTATTGTGAACATATGTATATCTTAACTTTTTCAGTGAATTTTGTATAACATGCAGTTCTGGGTTCCAAGAAGCATATTAATTTGTGAAGTTCTCCATTATTTATTCAACTCAGAGTTTATGCCTTAGATATTAACAGTAATGGATTTCAAGTATTTGAAAGGAATTCTCATTTTTAAATGCTTTAAGAAACTTAATCCTGAAGTAATTTATTTTTGTTAACAATTTTAAATAAATATTTTGTTAACTGTAGCTGTTTTATAATCTGTGAGACAGTTGAGTACTAGTAATTGAGTTGCTATGAAAAACACACATGACTCTGTTTCGTGAAATTATAGATTATTGATGGTTTTTCAAACGAGAGGGTGTTTTTCAGCTTAGTGACAATCTCATCGGAGGGCGACAGCCCTGAGATGAGATGTGGCTGACAAACATCCTCGAGTTTGAAAGACCATTGATAATCTGTTTATCGCTATTTTGCCTATGAGGTCGTTCATGTTTACACTGACAACGTCACGTGTGCCCTTAATTTCTGACGATAATTTTCCATCTCAAGCGAGTAACATGATATGAAAATTATATAATTTATTACCAAAAAAGATCAAGGGAAAAATGCACAAAATAGCGATGAAATAATATATCCTCTTTTACACTTTTTACACACCATATATCAGGGGATATCATTTACAAATTTTCAGGTATTACAACGATACAAACATAAAAAAAATAGATTGCAACAATAAGTCCATCCCCTCGAACGTTTTACCGTCTCTATTACACGTTGGTTTCCTACAAATATGTGCTGATTGTAACCACAACACTGCACACTTTTTCTCAATTGTGACATCACCGAATGAGACTTATCACTGAACTTGTACTTTCATTGCGCAACATAACGGGTATCGCTAGTGGAACCTGCTTACCCACTGGCCATCTGGAGCACCTGAGATCATCCCATGTTGTTGGTGGGATTTGTCAAGTTTTCTTTGAAGTGTTTTGTCGATTTGTTCATCTTATTTTTGTCTGTTGTTATTTGCAATCGCGTTGTCAGTTTCTCAGAAATTTCATCCTTAACCCTTACTATGCCACAAAGCCTATATTTAGGCTTTCTGTACTCCTTTCAAATGCCAACAGGCTTTTTTAAGGCTTGGTAACGGTTGCCTATATCGTCTACATTTGTGACAATGCACTTTACGTCATAGTTGAATAGGGGCAATACATAAAGGGTCGACACGGGGTATATCAACAGTTTCAATGCAGGAAGAGTTTTAAAGTTGGTTGCAAGGGCAAGATTTGCCACTGTACCGTCATCTGACTTTGACGTAATGGTAAAATGTGACGTCATAACTGTAGTATTTCAACCTTATGGCCGTTAATGCTTGGCTTCGCATTTATCCACTAAAACCAGGCAAAGACCTGGACCAATCGAGGACTGCAGGGACAACGAATATGTGAAGAGGCAATTCCGAGCCCATATATAGTGTATTTGAACTTGATGTTTAGTCTCAGTCTACTCAAGAAAAATGTCAAACAAACAAACAAACAGGAAACTATGCAGTCTTCTACACATCTGACATATTTGAAAAAAGTTAGTCGCTTAAGGTAGACAAGGGGGTTAAATTATATATATATTTTTTTTATTTTTTCATCCTTTGACAAATGTAGTTTATTATTATCATATTATTTTCAAAAATATAATAAAAAGTATAGGTTACGGAGCTTTTTTTCAAGCTACTGGTTGTGCATAAAAGTTAGCAATTATAGGTCACCGTACGGCCTTCAAAAATGAACAAAACCCGTACCGCAAAGTCGGCTATTAATAAAAGGCCCTGTAAAACAATTCACACGAGAAAACCAACGGGTCTGATTTATGTAAAAAAGAATGAATGAAAAAAAAAAAAAAAAAAAAACCCAAATATTATATATAGCGACAAACGACTGGTCTGGATTGAACCAGCCGGAATCAATCCACTACCTCCCGCACTCGATGCTAGCATGCTACCAAGAGACCACCCGAGGAGGTAATATATATGATATACAATTATACTGCACCCAAAAGCTATCGTACAAGTTTGATTGATTTATTTTTCTTTCGTATTATATTTTCTAACCAAAAACCCAAGTACAAATCAGTCAAATATATTACGAGGTAGCCGGTGTCTGTTAAAAAACAATCGGAAAATCATTTTTTTTTTTTTATAATTTTTATAAGGTAAACTCTTTTGTGAAACGTTACAGTTTCAATAAAAAAAACAAAGACCCGAAATATCAAATTCCCAAGTCCATCAACTGGAAAGAAACTTTAATTTCAACTTCATATGATAAAATCGAAGTAACATACAGGAGAGATATGTTCAAGTAACTGATGGAAGCAGTCGAGGAATATGCCACAAAATTGGTAATTCAAGCTCGAGCCAGATGAATCAAAACTGGATAGTTTATCTTAATTGATCAAAGCTGTTCGGTTGTGCATTCAGAAGCGCAGTCAAAATCTACAATGCACAATGAGCCTACTTTGAATATGTCCGAGATTTTTTGGATGCTTTATTGGGTTATTCACGACACAAATGTTGTTCTTCCAAGAGACAAAGCCTCAAACAAATGGCAATGGTTTATAAGCAAAAATCATTTTTTGGAATGTCTAACTAAACAACTTGGCACTCACAGAAAAACTGTGAATACATATAGACCTACACCGTTCACGAAAGAGAAGAGTTTAGAATATCACAAACCCGTCCATCTCTCCTTTTGTATTAACATAGAAATAGGATGATAAAAATCTCCAGTCTTTATACTTGATACCTAAGCTTTACAAAAATCCCAATTAAGAACGTTCTTACCCCATTATTTTTCTATAACTACAGATTTCCTTCACAACTATTGTATATTTAGCAAGCGGTGTCGCTGCAGTGATATTAATTCTTTTATATCTTTCTACGCTTTACACTAAAATTCCCGATCCTAAATTGACAGATCGACTATATCGTTTAATTTAACAGAGCTTTTTCTATAACAATAGGTATTGTGTATTAAAATTCCTTGTTTTAGGTAATGACACATCTTACATGTAAAGAACCACTGATTCCAACAACAAAAATACAGAAGAACCCGTGGATTTTTTTATCGTCAATCTCTTGAGTTTGGTGGATTGATTTTTCCACAAACAGTTGGGTTTCCAATGGGAACTAATTTTGCGCCCCTACTGGCCCACTTATGTTTTACTCATATGAAGCATAATTATTACAGAAAGTTCTCCAGGAGAAAAAGAAAAAGCATCTAGCAAAGTTCTTTATTTTCACTCTCTGATATATTGATGACGTCCTGTCACTCAACAACCAACATTTATGTGAGTGCTTGTATCTCATTTAGTCCAGTGAATTTAAGATAATAAATACTTCCGAAACTAGATGGTCAAGCCTCGTATCTTGATCTTTCCCTCGATATTGACACAGATCGACGACTTTAAACGTGAACTATGACAAACTTGATGACTTCAACTTTCCTTTTGTCAACTCCCCATTCTCAACAGCAACATTCCCTCTGCCCTATTGTATGGCGTGTATAAACTATTGTGTTACTCTCGTGCATGTTCACGCTATAAGAACTTAATTAACATGGTGTGATCCTTACACAAACAGTGCTACAACAGAGTTGTGAAGAAGAACGAGACATGAACACTGCATAAGTTTTACGTTTACCATCACGAATTGGTTGACCGATACGATGTGACTGTGTTTTAACTCACTACCTGTCGCTGTCTGAGATCTCAAGATGCCAGAAAAGTCCTCAAATCTTACTGATTGTGTCCCATTTCCGAATGTGACAGTTTGACTGCGTGTGGATTCATGTGATGAATGAGACGCTAATCCACATTTGATCTCACTCTTTCAGAGTTCATGCAAGTCTTTGATTGTTTTGGTTGTTGCATTGATTTGTATCTTCTGAATCTATTTATGAGATTTGAACATCGGTATACACTGTTGTGGCCCTACATATGTTTTGTCTGTCTGACGATATATTTTTTAAATGGTTTTAGAAAAGTTCTAACGTGTAAAGTATGTGTCATGCATGCGTTTGTTGCTGTATATCATATTTGTTTTTCATTCATTATTTTGTACATAAATCAGGCCGTTAGTTTTCTCGTTTGAATTGCTTGACATTTGTAATTTCGGGGCCTTTTATAGCTGACTATGCGGTATAGGTTTTTTCTAATTGTTAAATGCCGGACGTTGACCTATAGTTGTTAATTTCTGTGTCATTTTGTTTCTTCTGGATAGTTGTCTCATTGGCAATCATACACCATCTTCCTATTTTCTTATAGAAAAATTGTGATATATATAAAAAAAATTATCACAAATAAATGGAAGCAAGACATGTACAAACAAAACATTACAATTGTAAGTTAAATAGCACAGCGCGCATGATCAAGAATTGTAAAAATCTAAATGCATTTTGTGTTGTAGACTATTAAAACTGCATGGATTACCTTATCTTGAGTATTTCAAACTACAGAAGATGTCGTGATATAGTCCAGTAGAACCTTCGAGGTGTTTTTCTCAGGTAATAATGGTTTCGATGATCATGATAGATAATATATGGACAGCAATTACGTATTAAACATAATAGGAAGTAACCAGCTATCTTTGATCACAAATAATTGGTCCAGAATTTTACTGAATTCAGCGAATTTTGATTCAAAATGCAATTTATTAGTGCAACCTTTATTGCTAATACAGAACACTTAATTAATTAAATGATTTTTTTAAACTTCGCTTTCGAATAGGATCATAACTCAGATGATTAGTTTCATAAAGGAATGTGCTGCAAAATTATCTATATGGATTAATTGATTGATTGATAGTTACTTCAGGACCTGTGTATCTGATGCAACAACAACAAAATTTTCTATATTGTCTTAAAGCATATCACAAGAGCTATTTTCTTGTATTTTATTCCAAGATGTTATCATTCCTTCTAGTCGCAAAATTGAATTTTTCTGAGTATTATTCTTGTTAGATAGTAGAATAGTCCCAAGCCTGTAGCTTGTAAACAAACAAAAACACGATGACTTCTTCCTACACAATGTGCTTTAATTTCACGATTAAGGGCCCCGCTACCTCTGATAAACTTTTGTATGTGTGCAGATGTGTCTATACAAAGTATAAGTTAATTATTTGACAATTTAACATGTTATTTATGTGTATGAAACCGGTTATGAATAAGAATTTAAAGAGAGACCGATACCAATCTTCTATGGTCTGAAGCAAAATCACAGATCAGAATTTAAGAAGAGTAGCGTGAACTGATGTCACTAGTAAAGCAAGAACATTCTGGAGCACCTGAGTTCACTCATGTTTAGTAGGCTTTTTCGTATTAATCAATGTTCAGTTGTCTGCCTAATGCTTTTCTAGACTTGTTTTGCTTTTTCAATTTTGTCTTTTTTTCTCTTGTCCATAGAACTTTCTATTTTTCATCTGAGTCGACATATAGATTATTTATTGACCCCTTGATATCTTCTACTCATGAACATATTTACATCGGTCTCAGATACATTTTGAGAAATCTAATGTTACAGAGTATGTCAATATTGCGAGGAGTGAACATCTGATGCACCAATGTTTCTGTAAGTATATATCTGACATATGGTCAAAAATCGTAAACCGAAACATACAACAGATATCATGGCAACGCCAGAATAATACAAAATTCGTCCGATTAGAGTTATATAGATAAAACCAGTGCCCTTTAAAAAATGTTAGAAAATCGTGTTCAATTTGGATAAAGTATAAATTTGACTTTCGAGTTCTTTCATATCTAAGCAAAGCAATACAGAGTTACTTTGGAATCATTGATTATAGAGGATACTGTTGATTTCATCAGTATATAAAAGAAACCACCTCGAATTTTGTCTTGCAAAAGTATAAGTTATATTATCAATAACAAATCAGTGTGTGTTTTCTTAGTAAACAGTTTATATGTATACTTATTAAATATACTATATGGCTTACGTATCATTCAATCCATTTATTTCCTCCTAAATATCGATATCTTCATAATGAAACTTTCAATTTTATTTTCTTATACTTTTGATGCTTTTATTTTTAATTGAAGAAAACGATTTTTTCCAAAAGATTTTAGTATTTTTGAAATAATGTATGTCAATGTAATACATGTTATACACAAATACCAAATATTCCTCCAAATATACTTTTGTTTTACTGTAATTCATTTACTCTTTAGTAGTATATTTAAACAAAAATGTAGTTATTGTACCATACCTTTCATGATAGCGGGTTTTCTATAGGCAAAGATCCCTGAAGCAAAAAATATACCCATTGTCACTTGAATCACTCTAATCATATGTCCTACGTTTGAGAAGCTAGAAATATGTTATGTACCTCATATCACTTTACAATATTGATCATTTAATAAACATGTAACTTCTTGATAACAAATAGTCTTGTTAACGCTTTAGTTATTTTCTTAGTCTATCGATTACTGTTTGGGTTGCTATTGTTATCAAATTCAAAGAAAATCCATGTCAGGTAAGTAAACCAATCACACTCTTCATAATGCTTTTTGAAACTATAGATTCGCCATGTGATCAAACAAGTATTGCATTATGATCCAATGATCGGAATAAATAAAAATTAAATCATTGTAAATAGTAAATTGAACAACAGTCAATTCAATTATTTGGAGGCAGAAGACATGTAAGTATAAGTATTTTGAATATATTTCTTAAGGGTTAACTGTGCATTCAGCAAATGCTGAAATTACATGTTTAAATATCCAGATATCGCAATTATATGACATCTTTATAAAAGAATCGGGGAAATTTATCCTTATAATTTTGTTAATCTATGTACTTTTTACCTTCCTTATACTTGCAGTTATATTTTATAAGAAAACCGAATTCCCTAACAAATACATGTCGATTTTTATGAACAAATTAATCAATGTATGGTAGGTAACTTTTAGTGTAATCTAAATTAAGTAACATGACATATAAGTATAACAGATAGCACTTTACTTTATCAATTTAAGAATTATAACTCAATTGCAAGTGTCAAATGAAAACCTTGTAACATAATTTGTTTTATAATTACACCTTATATAAGAAAGCCAGATTTTGATTGGTTGATAGCCAGTGTATTTTTCGCATATTCTAATATTTTTTCCTCATTTCAAACGAATTTGCCTGTTTTTCACCACTGCCGGTGAATTTGCCTCAAATACCATGGTATTTGCCATTTTGGATATTCCTTTTTGAACCCTCTCGAGCATTTTCCCACCAAAATTTTTCGGATATGACGTTACATAAAAAAGAGAGCTAACACGTATTAGTACATGTATAATTCCCGCGGTTCTATGATAATATCCATTTATCCTCAAAATTATGCATAAACATGTTAATGAATTAGTTTCAATCCAAATCTATTCGGTGTAATTAAACAGGTATATCATGTTATGGAGGGGTATTTGCAAAAAATACCAGTCTTGGGACCGAATTTCACTCGCCTAGCGGCTCGGGAAATTTTACAGTCCCTTGACTGGTATTTTTTGCAAAACCCCTCCATAACATGATATATCTGTTCAGAATTGTATTATATTCACACTCAATAACTCAAAGGTAGTGTATTTAAAGTCACATGTGTTGGTGATTATAATGTTATAATTTAATTTTGGATGTAACGCGTCTTCTGATTGGCTGACGTTGTTTTGTTTATCAGCTCATAGACATAATTTTGTCATGTGACCGTGACGTCATCAACGTTTTTTCATGGTTTACTCCGGTTTAAAATGGAATTTAGAACTAAATTATAAGAAATAACTATAATATTTTTTCTGTCCATTCGAAATAACATAAAAAATGTGGTGCACACTTTAAAATAACCCGCTACGCGGGTTATTCAGTGTGCACCACATTTTTTTATGTTATTTCTTTATAGACAGAAAAAATATTACAGTCATTCCTTAAATGGAAATTATCAAATCAATGCACGTATGATACTAAATTACGTACGTTATTTTTTTTAAAATTATTACAATCCGAAACGTATATAATCGACAAAAAAACATTTATTGATTGTAAATCGAAAACTTTGGCAGCTGGATCATTGTGCCAAAGTTTAACGATCGTGGCTTTGATAAACAATCAACTAAGAATCATGGAGCACGCGTAAAACAAGTGAGAAGATAGATAACTATTTGTTGTTTTTTGTTACTGTCCATGCGTTTCAATTAGTTAATTAAACATTGTCATAACAGTTGTTGAATGATTTTGTGTCTTAAAAGTTTTCTTTTAAATCGATTGATACTATCCTCTTAAGATCACTGCATACGGTGAATCAGAGTAAGGGAAGATAATAATTCAATAGAAGTACATTTTTGAAGATTTGGATAAAAAACAGAATTTTCTTTTAGAATAAAGATTATGCTCATTTTTTTAATAAGAATATAGCCAAGTACTATATGAAAAAAAACCTTGAAAAAAGAAATTATTTCAATACTCGATGTGTTAAAGCAAATTTAGCAAACATGTATTGTCTACTTCTTGAATTTTGTTATCGTTGAGGCTTATGGCATATGCCAAGCGGTTCATTGTTATACTAAAGTAAGACTAATTAGTTGGTATATGGTTGATTTGTTGTTGAATGTACAGCGACAAATATTTCCTGTTTTTTATTCTCTCAGGAGAAGACAAAACACTGTATTAGTTTATAAATATAAACAAATAGGTGGTCCTGAAATAACATTTTTTAAACTTTAAACAACTGTATCAATATTTAGACATGATACATATATATACTTTCTCCCAACCTTGGTCCTGTGACAATACAAAAAACCTCTATTGGAAAACAAAGGAATATTGGGTGCAGTCTGACATCCCTTGTATTTCAACTGTTTCTATATTATTTCGTTAATTGCTTCATCTACTTAATATTAACTTGTCAACTATCATCCTCGTTATCCAAGGGTTACGATATCGGAAATGTCCATTACTGCTGTCGAAAAATACAGCTGAACACAATACATTATGACAAGAGTCACGATTTCAGGTTCAAAATATTACGAATACTGGAAAACATTCGACATCAATGTTTTTCGACGAACAGTTAATACAATGCAAGGTGGGTAATTTCCTGGAAATCTAAATTAGGTTATATGACAAATTTATGTATAGCATTTAATCTTATCAGTTTTCGAATAACAATTAAATTCCAAGTATTACATAAAAACTTTGTAAAATCATTAAACAACTATTTTATTTTAATACTCGATGTGTAATGTATGTATTGTCTGCTTCTTGGAAAATTTTATCATTAAGGCTTATGATATAAGTGGCCCAGCGGTTTAATGTTATATATACTATTATGTTTACTTTTCATTTATAACAATTTGGTAAAAATATAACACACATATCAAATCGACATTATCTCAATCTTGTTTTTTTTAAATACAAAGTCATTTATAAGGATCGGAATGTATGTATTTCTTTAAAGCATTTTAAAAAAAATGTAACATTCTATCAAAAAGTAAAATAACAAAAATACCGAACTCTAAGGAAAATTCAAATTGAAAAGTCCTTTGTCGAATGGCAAAATCAAAAGCTCAAAAACATCAAACGAATGGAAAACAACTGTCATATTCCTGACTTGGTACAGGCATTTCCTTAGTAGAAAATGGTGGATTAAACCTGAATTTCAACAGTACTTTCAACAACCTGAAAACTGAATTAATGTGATTTTATACATATTGGTGACAATGTTGGAAAATATTTTAATACACATGTTATTTGTAGAATAAGGAGAAACATTCAGATTGCCAATGTGAAAAAATATCCACAAAAAAACAAGGATGTGAGCAACTACGACATTCAACAATGAGCAAGCCTCAAACTGTATAGTAAACTATAACCCTTACATAGTAATATATAATTCAACTACTTTTCTTTTTAAAACATAACATTAGAGAACCTTTGAAGTACAAGAAATATTCTTTCAGACTGCCCGATGTTCCCTTGTTTTCCAATAAAGGTTTTTTTTTGTATCACAGGATCAAGGCCGGGGGAAAGTATAGGTAATTCATTTATGTTAATTGGTTTTTAAATTGTTTACAATTTAAATAATATTATCGCTGGACCAACAACTTTTTATTTATATTAGCTAATATGTTTTAGCTTGGTCTTTTCCTGCAAAAAGCATGAAGTATGTGCCGCTGTATATTCAATAACAAATCAACCATACCCGAACGGATTGAACATTCTCTGATGTCTAACAAGGTTACACGTACATATATAACGTATCTGCAGAGTTTGCCATTTGAATCAATGTTTAGCTGTATAGATCCAGGGCTGTAAAAAGTGAAAAGAACACTTTATAAAAATTGCATGCCTCCGAAGCGGATTTCTGGATTTACCGAATTTTTAATACTGAGCTGATGATACCTCGACACTGATAGTCCACCAGCAGCGGTATCGACCCAATGCTGTAAAAAATGAAAACTGCACTGTATCAATTTCATGCGTCCGAAGCGCTTTTCTGGATTTGCCTTCATCAGGAAAGCTGAAAGCCGATTATTTGAAAGCCATGGATGTATATAAGAACCGTAACAGTTGAAAAGCTTTGACCAAACTAAAACTCTAAAATATATCAAAATCCATTTATGTCAACTTTGCATGAGGGAAAAAAAACCTTAGTTTCTTTATGATTTATGATTTTTAAAACGGACAATTTTAGAAAGGTTTTTTTTTATAAATCATGTCAGTACCGAACCGAAGTACAGACATCTGTGCTGATGGTACCCGAGGGTACTGATTGTCCACCAGCAGCGGTATCGACCCAGTGCTGTAAAATAATGAAAACAATACTTTATAAATTTCATGCGTCCGAAATGAGAAATGGGAACAGCAGAATATTACTGTCGGTCTTTCGTACAAATGATATGCCTGAAAAAGAAAGAAGATACATAGAGGACAATCAAATCATTAGTCGATTAAAAGATAAAGAGAATACGTTTGCTGAGTGATCACGTTTTTTGTTTTTGTTTTATTATTTTATGCTTCGTCATACATTTACATGAGACATGCTACAAAACAATCAAGCACGACTCAAAGACCTAAAGATCTTATTATCATTCCAGATTTCACGGAATAAGAAGGAACATACAAAATGGGTAGGTATTATTAACCTTCAAAATTGCAAATACACACTTCTTATTGCTCATATATATATATATATACAAGATTAATAAAGGAAATAAAGGTTAACCGCAATAATACCACAATCCAAAACAAACAGTTGAGATGTATATGTATTCTTCCATTGTGATAAAAGAGAGGCGAAGGATAACAGAGGGACATTTAAACTCATAAGTCGAAAATAAACTGACAACACCATGTCAAAATAATTCGCTACATATTTTGTTTTTGTTTTTTGAGAATTAATGCTGCACTTTATTGAAAAATAACATTTTCTTTCGGTTGAAATCTGCTCTTTAATACTAGTATTTTTAATTATTCAAACAGTTATTGTGTGATTAAATTATAATTATTTCACAAACATAATGTACATTTATTCTGTATTTACGTTGTATCATAGATCAAATTTATTTGTTCAGTGTATGTTCACTGGTGTTAATATGTCTTTTGATTGAGTTAAGCTATTTCAATTGATATTTTATAGTGTGTCTTTCTATGTTGTGGTGTTACATTATTGTTTCAGATAAGGGTGAATGTTTGGTACCATTAAAACGTTCAAACCCGCTGCAATTGTTTGCACCTGTCCTAAGTCAGGAATCTGATGTTCAGTAGTTGTCGTTTGTTGATGTGGTTCATAAGTGTTTCTCGTTTCTCGTTTTTTATATAGATTAGACCGTTGGTTTTCCCGTTTGAATGGTTTTACACTAGTAATTTTTTGGGACCCTTTATAGCTTGCTGTTCGGTGTGGCCAAGGCTCCGTCTTGAAGACCGTACTTTGACCTATAATAGTTTACTATTATAAATTTTGACTTGGATGGAGAGTTGTCTCATTGGCACTCATACCACATCTTCTTATATCTATATATGAGTGTATAACTAAATGTTTCGTTTTTAATAATATATTGTCACCTATTCTACAAGTTAAAACATACTATCTTTTCAATATGTCAGCTTTGGTGAAACCTAAACAGTACGACTGGAAAGATTCTAACCTGGCTTTATTTGATTCTGCTACAGATAAAGAGATAAAAAGTAAGTGCTATTACTTTAGGCGCTGGCATTTTGTTTAAATGCAATAAAAACGGAAAGGTTCACGATTTGTATTAAGAATATAACTATCATAGTATATCACAAATTAAGGTGACTTCCTCAAGGAACCTGCACACTGATGCTTAATTTCACTTCTACAAAAGATTTTGTTGTTTCTATAATGTTTATCAAGTCAATATTTTGAGTTTGTTATCGTAGATTATCCATGCAAGTCCATATTGTAGATTCGGTTGATTACTCAAATGTAAGAACTTCTTTCTTTTACCGAGTGGAGTCTTAAGAAAGGACAGAGAAAATAACAGATTGTTTACAATTGGAAGGCTTCCTATCTCTAATGTTTAGACGAGTATTTGTACTTATTTCTTCCGTAACTCGGACATGCCAATTTCACACTCTCATATTGCGTCTTTTAGCAAAGAATTACGTTATAGTATAACAGGAAAGTTATTCTAGTTTGAGATCCATTAGTTAAGTTTTCTATTTCATAATTAACCCATAACATATCAAAACATATGCAACAACCCTCAGTAGTGTAGCATGATCGGCTTCATATTATGGAGCTATTAAATCCCCAAACTTATTAAATCCCCAAACTCCCCAATTTTTAGTATTGATTAAGTTTTCCAATCTTGATTTTGCTGTGAACTTGTCTTTCCTTTTTCTTTTGGATGTTGCGTTTTCTGTTTTTCACCCCCCCCCCCCCCCCGCCCAAAAAAAAATCCGGTGCTGACATGAATTATCATATATGCGATCCTTTTTTAGTATCTTTACTGATAATTAAATGTTAAAATGATTTAAAAAAAAATCTACTATATGAATATTTGGCGTTCAAGCCAGATTTTTCAAAACATTTTTTATTTTTTTATTTGTTTCAATGCTCTTCAGTTATCTTTTTCATTTTCCCTTCACACTGTTTTGATTGCGCGGCATTGAAGCAGGCGAAAATCATTTAGCGTAAGATATTCATAAATCTGGTATTTCTGACGACTTTTTTAAACCCCTGAATTGATGCCACGAATTTTGGGTGTCTTCCTAAAAACTATGACTGCCAAGTAGTGAACACTTTAGCGCTACATAAAATATCATAGTTACGGTCATTTTCGATAAATTTTCTGGTTAAGAAATGTTTTAATAATGAAGCCAAATTTAGCATATCTCTTTGGAAGTTTTGGTAACCCGAGCTGTTGTATTCTGAATTGATTTTGCCTTGCTTTTATTTGAGCGACACTCATAATGCCTTTGTAGACAAAAGGCGCGTCTGATGTACTTAATGATAAGCTTTATATCTTTACTTTACTATTGTTTTCGACTTATTGTTTAAATTATATTTCTTAAACCGGACAGACGCCGATTTGGCTGAGGCTTTTCTGACTTCTTTTCATAACCTCTATCAAAATTTAGGTAAGTTAAATCCCATTTTGAAACTAATTGCATGCAGGTTTGCTGGCTCTCTTGATTAGTTTTGATTTTAGACAGATAATAAAGTTGACAAAAACACAAAAGAAGTTTCCGATTTTTTGTAGTTGTCAGAATAAAGACTATAAAAGTTCTCAAAGCCTTGAAATAATTCAAATCGATGGTTACAAGTATATTACTTTGCTATAGTTTAAAAGACCTAAATGTATTGGAAGGATAAAAAGGCCAAATGTTTTTGAATATAAGTATATATATATACACAAAAACTCATTAAAGATACCAGGATTATAATTTAGTACGCCAGACGTGCGTTTCGTCTACATTAGACTCATCCTGATCGGTGACGCTTGACTCAAAACAACTAGAAGGCCAAATCAAAAACGACCAATGGAATAGTTTACATGTTTTACTGGGGAAGAAAAATCATATATACTTGAGAACATCGTTAACATCTTAGCATGCAGTACATTGAAATAATTTGATCACTTATTATTAGCATAACCAAAGTTCGATCAGATAATGATCATCAACTGCTAATTTCGAACCGTGAACTTAAAAAATAGTAACTGCAGATGTGCTATCATAATAATCTGTCATACATGCGTATCACACTCTGGGATATTGAAAATAAGAATTTTAAATGTCTTTCAAACTAATCAGTATTGCTACTTCTCAATACAGATATACTAGTATCTAAATAATTAATATGTTACGAGTCATATGAGGAATACTTCGTTTATCTTTCAGAATCTTCCGCAGAGAAGGAACCAGCCTGGAAAAAGGCAGGTTTAAAGCCAGGGATACAAATTTGGAGAATTGTGGTATGTGTACTGATACACCTTTTCATTTAACGCTGTAAACTAAGGTTTTTTTTATATTGGTTGCGGTGAAATACCATAATTACCCGGTCAAGTAAAATTGGATACTGAATCATCCTATCATTTTCATTACATACGAGTACAACAATAAGTATTGTCAAAAACATTGCATCAAAAAGAAGTAAAAACAAGACAAAAAAAAAATATATGGCACCTTGCATTTTCTTTTTTTTTACATTAAAAGTCGACGAAATAAAGACGATTACCAATCAAAGAAGTAAAATATCAAAAATTATTCCATATTAGTACTATTGCATATTGTTCATCTAAATAAAAGGTTAATAATTGATATCACCACGTTAAACGTCTTAAGGAATTATAATTTTGAAATAATCATGCACAAATTTGGTCGGTTAAGCATTTTAGATACACGTTTCTCGTCAAAAAGCTAAAAACAATAATGCAATTGCTGACTAACATAATAAATTACTTGAAAAAGTAAGGATATGACTTTTTTGTTAAAGTGATCTTTGAAGTATGTTAACGGTCATTGGTGTTTCAATTAGGTTATTGTTGTTACTATTGATTGTTTAACTTAACTCTTATGTTATGTTTGTTTTTGAAAACATGAAAGATGTTGATGTACAATTCGTTTTATTATGTGAGTATGGTTGACGTTGAATGCATTATTTTTTATAAACATATGAAGTATAGAACAAAACCATAACAATCTTTTGTTTCAGTAAATATGTAGTTAAATTGACTTTGAAAAAAACTTGTACTGACTTCGATCGTTGACTTTAATAAAGATAAGATTTTTGAAAGCCATTAAACCACGTATTTACCTCATCAAGTGACAGCGAGTACGTAGCATTCTTTTGGACAGAACACCATGCACTGCTTATTCGGTAGGTCGTTGTAAATTTTTCTACATTCGAGATTTGAATTCATAAGCTATTTCATTATAATTCAACATATGAAAGTTACTTCCTGAAAAGTTTTAGATTTTGAGATTTTGACTGTTTCTTACCTTGACTTTATACTTCAGAAATTCCAAGTTATACAATGGCCGGAGAAAGATTATGGAAAATGTTTTGATGGGGATTCTTATATAATACTGAATGCAAGTATAATATTCGTTTTATAATCTAATTTCAAAATGTCATGTCATGAAACTGTAACAATAACCACAATGAAATGAAACCATCTGCATGCAATGAAACTAACACATACAAGTTTGTCGCGAAAAGACCTTAATTTATCATCTTCACGGTATAGATGGGAGGTTTTGAGTTTTGGGTACATGAAAAAAAATACTGATCGTCAGTGCCTATAAGAGATATTGTCATGATTTGACGTTCGTTATAAATTAGCTTTTTCATTTTTACTTCCCTTTGAAACTTCATAACAAATTTGAACCACACTTGGCCCGATTTATGTAGTTGTTGGTTTATACGACTTGCGACGATTCCACAAACAAGGCAACATGGCACGTTTGTAAATTGTCTCTGCAGTTATATGAACAAACCATCGAAACGTTAAGGTTTTTATGCGAACCTAGTAAAATTTGACACAACATTTCGGATTTTTTTTTGTTGTTTTCAATTTTCTTTAACTTTGTAACTGATTCTAGCACAAGTGATCATTCTTTTGTATACATGTAAGTCGACGAAAAGCTCGTCGTGCGAAATTAATTGCAAGCAAGGTATCATGCTATATTTAGAAATAAGAATTACATTTAATATTTCTTCCAGACGTATGAAAAAGAAGAAAAGGAACATTTGCTTCATGATGTACATTTTTGGATCGGTAAATATAGCACATCTGTAAGTTTTTTTTGGTTTTTTTTACTATCATTCTTTTATATATTTATTTATTTATTTACTAAATGTTCATTGTGAAAGTTTTATTATGATTTTTGACTTTACTAGACACTTCTTTGTTCGCTTATTCATAAATATGAACTCAGTTTTTAACAAACGTCAGTGCCATTTTATAGTATTAAGATCTTTGCTATTGAAATGAATACTTTGACCTGTCAGACAAGCTAATCTGATAGTCTTCAATAGATAAAAACAAATTAGATTAAAGGCAGTAGTAATTTACGAAGATCTTATTTCAAAATTCAGTTGAAATGAACCTACTGTAAGACAAAATAAAAACCTTTAGATTCACTTGATCTCCAAAAGGAACAAGGACGATGCGTCGTCAGCATCGAAAGCAGTATTGAAACATTTTGGTTAATTAGCAGTCGATGAAATTTCTAGTCTTTGTATAAATTGAAAACCTTTTAGACTTGATTACTTTTATTCTTATTTTGTCTTTGACTCCATAGACGTACGTCAGAATAATTTTCTCCATAAAAAAATGTAATTTATACAAAAAGGAGATAACACTTTATAAATCTGTTTTGTCTAAAGCGCTTGTGAAACAGATATTCCATAACGGTCAACCAAATGGTGATGGCGTCCGTAATGTTTACGAATGGATGATTTCAACTTCACCACATGGAACCCTCGGTTTAATAGCTACATTGTGAGCAGAAACCATCTATCAAGGAAATCATGATAGGAAATACAAGCCCTGGAATATCGTATCAACCGGCAAAAATATACTCCGTACTGAACTTTGCTTAAAAAGCTGGAACTATATTTTTTTAATCCTTACTCAAATTCTCAATAATTTATTTACAAATTGAACTTTGCAGGATGAATATGTGACTGCTGCATACAAAACAGTAGAATTAGACACATATTTAGATGATATCCCAATTCAGTACAGGGAAGTTCAAGGCCATGAATCAAAACTTTTCAGATCTTACTTTGATACAATTACGTGAGTTAAATTCATAACTAATGTGATGTTGCGCACGATGTTGGTACGAATTCCATTTTGCTATAGATTAGCATGAAAATAAATACGTAGACTGGTCAGTTCGATAAAAATATAGTGATTTCTGGTTTAATTTATTACATTAGACTTGAAAATTAAGAAAAAAAGGAACCGAAATTTAAAATATCAAGAATTATAACACCTAATTATCCCATTTTTACGCAAAAACGTAATGTCCAACGTTACATTTTGTGTGCAAAAGATCGGAGTTCCGTTTCTTTCCTACGGTATTTTTTTTTTCTGATCATTGGAAAACTTCACAAGAGTATTGCTATTGTTATTGTTAATTGCTTGTTAAAGCAAAATCAATATTACTGAAACCGTAAACCGGAAAATGTTATTTTTGAAAACGGTCTGAAAAATGTCCAAGCATATGCAAGGTAAGCATATATCGGATTTGCGCATTTATACCGTGTAATTGGAAAAGCTGAGAGGAAAAATATTCATGATATTTTGAAAGTTTTTTTATTTTTCTCCTGGTTCATGATATTTTTTTTGCCGAAACCATGTGTATAGTTTCTATTGCAATGACTTCAAAAAGTATAGCCATCTTGTCCCAACGATAAAAACGCTGTATTTTCTTTACAATTGAGGTTTTTACCGGCTGTATATTAAATAAGCATAGTTAGATCATAGAAAATAAAACTAGGCGGCAAAAGTTTTTTTCTTTTTCTTTTTAAACAATATAGTGTTTAACATTTTTTCGATAGGCAACAAGATTTTTAGATCGTTTCAAAAAGTATAGCCGTTTTGTCCCAACGTTCGCAAAACGTAATTGATGTAATGCTCGGGTTTTCAATTTTATATCATAATGATTTGTATCCAGTTTAATTCGAATGAAAATAAAAATATAAGTTATAATATAACCAATGTATGATAAAGGAAAAGTTTAAGTTTAAATTCAAATGTTGACCAAACGAGATTGATATAAAAAATATCGGGATCTTAGTTTTTTTTAGCATATTCATGACATTTGTTTTTTTCAAAGAACGTTGTCTATCTGCAAGTTTTATATCATTAAAAGCAAAATGCATAATTTTTTTGTTAATAAAATAAAATAGAGAAAAACCATTGCTGGCAATTATAACAAAACAAAGGATATGCATAATGCCACAAAAATACAGAAATGAGAAAAACATGAATCCAAAATGTTAAATTACCTGGAAATGTTGCAACAAAGAAAGCATCGGGAATGATAAAATATAGAAAGGAAACGGAAACGGAAAGAAATGCAACAAAAGGAGTATGTATAAACATGCAATAAAAGGAGAAATAAGTTCAAAATCTAATTTATATTAAATATAAATCTGTATAAATTTGGAAATTAATGTATGATTCATTAATGCGAACTGCTGCCAAAAGTAAAATTATCAATTATGGCCTGGAAAGACTGACAACTCCTATAAATGAATATTCATAAAAAAAAAATAAATATGTGTACGACCACTTTGAGTGTTATTTGTAAAACTGTGCATTTTCAGACAAACCGACATCGGTTACCATATTCACAACAGTAAATTGACCTTATCAATTATAAGCTTGAACGCTTTAGTGAAACGTTCTTTGAAATCGTCGAAATTGCTTCATTATGAGGAACGTCGTGTAACGCTAAGTAGTATCAACATCGTGCGCAACGTCTCAATCATTATATAATGTCCCACGTGTCATTTCTGATACACTTATTGTATGATGATCAGGACCCTCTTTGAATAAGAAGGTTCTAATGATGGGAACATTCCAATACATTGATAATACATTTCTATAATCTCATTTTGGATGACCTTAAATTATTCTACAAGGTTAAACATATTATTTTTAAATTATGGTTGGCTTGTACAGTGTCATCTTAGGCCGAAGTTTTCTCTGGGTGTAATCATTTCAGTCGGAGGTCGAGTCCGTGTTAAGGAAAATTACATGTTATACACTTCGTGCCACCGAAGTGCATGAATGCGCTTTCGTGAGGAACGCTAAAACCTAGACATTTGATAGCCAGGAATGTAAAACTACGTAGAAACCGTAAGAACTATATTACCAAACAGAGCATTCAACAATTGAAAATTTTAAAAATAGCTTTGATTTTCAATTTTTTATTACATGTATAAACAAACAAAAAATAGCAAACAACTGTTAGTTTTCGTATTTTTAATGACTTTCTGTGTACTGTTATATAGACTTGTTTGTTTGTTCGTCTTTTAATTTCAATCATTACATATCATAGTCTGTTCTTTTGTGTTAATTTTTTAATACCCCTTCGTATTCTTATTCTTTTATTTTCTATTATGAAAATCTCCTGCCATGTATTAAAGGGACATTGACCGACAAATTCGTGTCTAACCGATTTGACTAAAATTCTCATATTTGATGTACAACATTCTGAACCGTATATCTAAATTACAAAGAAGTTCGAAAGAATCAATTAAAAATTAATGTACTTATTATAATGTATACATGTATGCATTTCGTGCGTATTTTAGACTAGAAGCCATTTAATTAACCATAGAGATGACATCCGAAGACTGTCGATGGTTATTTGACCCTATATAAAAATAAATAAACAGACACGCATGTGCAATCGCCAAAATGACGATTTACTAGGTCTGTTTGGTTTTATTTCATAGATAAAAAAATATGTAATTCGTCGTTTTACCTGTACAAAAATGATTTTTTTTGTGAGCTAATCAGTCAAAGAAATGGTTCTCCCCTTGTTTCACCTTTTAATGTTGACATACTTTCCTTCAAAAACCGAACATGCTAAGCACATGCGTTATCAAAATCCAGATAAGAGCCAAATTAGAGTTCGCATTATAACAGATTCAAATGATATTGAATTATTGACTTGCAAGTCAAAAATATATCGACGATGTTTTTTGTACTTTACTTTGACACAATTAAAGAAAACTGACTACTTGTAGCGAAATATTATATCAATATCCCACTTTTATAAATGGAGTTATGTTGAATTGTTATTTTATCAGTTTTGTGTAAGGTCTTTTTTAACTAGGAAAATTTTACTTCTGCAATTAATTTGTGTTAAAACATTCCAACTGTGTTTATTATAGTGAAAGGCTGTGAATGAGCTTTTAATGAGATATTGTGTACTTTGGTTTTTTTTGTTATCTTTTTAAATCACAAACATGATATCGTGTACTGAAGAAAGTTGTAAAGCCACAAATAAAAAATTAGGAAAATTATAAGATATCTTGTCCAACTAAAACAAATTCCAATGTAAATTTCGTAATGGCATGTGTATACAATAAAACGGTGCTTGCCTAAGAAACAAAAACAACAAAAATTGACGAACGCGTATTTGTATTGTAATTTAATAGCCTTCGATGATTACATTAATTGAAAAAAGGTGTTATTAAAAAGACATTGCAACGATTTTTTTGTTTCAAACATCTGCTTATTTTATATTTTGCTGTTATTACAGCAACGTAGAAAATATTTTGATTGTGGCACTTCTTAATTTGACTCGAAAACGAAACAAAGTTCCTAATAATAACAAACTAAAAAATAGCAAATATAATAAAGTCGTGGTTGATTATATATTAACTTAAAATTAACACTTCAACAGATATTTACATGGTGGTGCAGAAAGTGGTTTCAACCATGTCAAAGAAGATGAATACAAACCAAGATTATTTCATTTCCATGGAGACAAATATGGAGTAGCAGTAAAAGAGGTATATCATATTCTTCTCCAGTTATCTTAATAGAATGTGGTATGGTTATCAGCGGCCGCTCTTTACTTTCTTATCGTCATTCGATAACAGAAGAGGGGAAAATGATAATGACGAAATCATTGTATTTTTAAAAAACCGAATCTGGTTGATTATCGTATTCAGCATTTTAACAGTTATTCTAAACAATATTGTTCTACAAAAAAGATATCAAGACTGAACAAGTTGACCAGTAAGCTACTGTCCAGTAGTGATCGTTTTCGCTTAACAGGAAGTTGGTGAGTTATGGACGTAAAAATGCATCACACGGATGAAAAGCCTCGATTAGTAGTTCCTAAGAAAAATGAGACCATTGCGTATGAATATATACATGTATATATCATTCAAACGTTAATAGATTTAACAAGTAGGTATCGTCATTGGAGTGCACGCTGTAAATGTGTCAAACATCGTTACATACCGATATTGTTTTCTGAATTCGTGTGATCTTTTGTTTACTATGATATTTGCAAAAAAACACAACTTTTCACACTGTAAGGTAAAAACTCACTTTAAGACAAAATATTTATAAACTAGAAATTAAAAATTAGTTTTTAACTCAATTTGAAGTAATAAACTTTAATAATATCCAACAAAGCCTCTTTACTATTGCTGCTCATAACTGTTTATCTTAACTTTCTTTTCTTTTCAACACATAAAATGGTTTCAAACATAAGAGGTGATTCTTTAAACCTGTGATATTGTTCGCCATTAGAATTCAACATCAAAATAGTCTTGTGTTTCCAGGTCCTCCCAATTAAAGTCTGGTTTTACTATACTGTTTGGTTGCTGCATCCATGACGAAGAACCCTTATATATTTATTAATACTTTATTTAACTTTTTTTCCTTTTGAACATCACAAAAATCATTAAAGTTTTCATGTTGTTAGTAATATTAAATAATTTAAAATGAATTTAGTCCACTTGGCAGACTTTATGACATATATGTTTGGTTTTTTATTCCCAGCTTATGGGATATTATCTGACACCCTACACACCTCTAGGAATATGATTGGTTAAAAGCATCCGCGTGAAGACCGTGTATATTTCATATGGAGTTAGTTGGCGTGGTTTATTTCAATACACGGTTAGTAATGGTGTTACGTCCCTTTGTAAAAACAAAACACGGTGTTGAAATCGGAAAAGTTTCAACAGGCGAAGAAACTGATGATGAACGATTAAAATAAATGCATAAAACACATTTAAAGTTGTTATTGTTTTTATTGTTGGCATTTGTTTTTGTATAGACCAATGGAAGTAGGTTCTTAATATTGAAGACTTGATCACTTTGATAGGCCATTAGTACAAATACCACATGTTAAGATAGTCGGTAAGATAAATTCGTTACACATTGTGCTAGTGACCTAATAAAATATAACTGGGGTCAGTAAACTCCATATGGGGATTCGAGCTTCGCTCTCACCCGATATAGAATTTACTGACCCATATATATCGTATTAGGTCACACTATTTAACTAATGATAAACAGTGTTAGACATATTCATTATGCAAAAGCTTTGCCTGGAGTGTACCTGAATTAAGAATATACGCAGGTGCTGCGGATTATGTTAACGTCATTAATTCAATCGGCCACTAATTGAAGAGTGTGACAACATACAATATAATACTTTCGTTCAAGCGAAAATCAGTTGGGCAGCAATAATAATAGAAATACTTCCATATAATAACGTCAACGCACCAACGTAATCTTTATGAAAACTTAAACTGTTATAATATAAGTGTTGTTTTAAAGACCAGGTTTTTGAAATTCAGGTTCTACATTTCTTTATAAAAAACCAAAGTAAAAACCGTTGATATTCACCTCATGCTTTACAGTGTTTAGATGCTCACTCTGTCCTGTCTTTGAAGACAGTTTTATTGAAAATCCAATGTCCATATCTACTAATGTTAAATACCATCTTATATTGTGAGTATATAAAGTAAATGTGTAATGGTTAAGAAACCAAATAAGAATACGACTTTATTTCAATTAGTTAATTTTAACGCTTAAAGGTCAAATACATTTAAAACACACGGCGGACCGTTTTATAATTAGCTGAAAGTATTAAACAAATCTTAATATTTATTCTATAACACCATAAATAGACAAATTTACACATTTGCTATATCCACGGAATTAAGGTTACAGTAGGTTACCTTTGTTTAAATCTCGATAATTGACTAGGAAAAAAAAATTTAGATTACAAACAAAAACTGAGAGAATCGCGTGATTTCAAATTAGAGCGAAACTGGGTACACCCAAAGGATATAATAATAATAATAATAATAATAATAATAATAATAATAATAATAATAATATCTTTATTTAGAGAGAGTAACTCATTTGGATTACACCAATTTTCAAAAAGGCTCTCTTAATACAATAATAATTACATTAAAAATAAACAATACATATTCAATAATAATGATAAATAAAGATGTAATACAATTTAAATACAATAAACAATTATTATATATGGCATTACAGTACAAATATCATGGTAATGTTAAAAGTACATAGATTTGTAGTTATGTTTAAATTCTAATACTGTGTTTGATTTTTTAATTGAATCAGGAAGAGCATTCCATACTTTTGGTCCGTTGTACGAGAAACTAGACTTATACAACTCTGTATTTGGTTTTGGAAATATAAAATTATCTGAGGACGAAAATCTCGTATTGTATTTTTGGTTTGCAGAAGCTGATACAATAAGACTGGACATATATTCTGGAGCTAAGCCATGTTTTGCCTTATACATTAGTAATGATTTATGATAATGTATTCTCTGTGTAATCGGCACAATGTTACATTCGTGAAATAATTCGCTTGAAGGTTTGGTGTAATCATGTTCGTCTAAAATTATTCTTGCTGCCCTCTTTTGCAGCTTTAGTAAACTATCTAATAGAAAGTTATTACAGTTTCCCCTTATTGAACAACAATAATCTAAGTGAGGTAAAACGTAAGCGTTATAGAACATTTGTCTAGCTTTGTGATTTAAATATTTCTTTATCCTTTTTAGTAAAGCTAAAGAAGAGTTAACCCTTTTTATGATATAATCAATATGAGAAGACCAAGATAGAGATGCATCAACAAAAATACCTAGAACCTTTTCACATGTACTTTCTTTAATTTGTTGTCCATTCATAGCAATATTAATATTTTCATTTGAAGTAGCTGAAAGCTTCTGTTTAGAGCCAATACATATAGCCTTCGTTTTAGATACATTTACAGCCATTTTATTGTCATCACACCAGCTAAAAATATCTTGTAAAACCGTATTAAGTTTATGACTGATACAACTTTTGTTTTGTCCAATGACTGATATGGTGCTATCATCAGCAAATAAATCGGTGTTATGATTAGGATTAGACTAAGGAAGATCATTTATAAAAATTAAAAACAACACAGGTCCTAAAACGGATCCTTGAGGTACACCCGTTTTTTTGTTTTTGTAAGTCTGAAAATGTATTTGAAATAGATACCATCTGATATCTGTCAGCCAAATATGATGTAAACCATCGTAGCGAAGTATAAGCAAATTTGTATTTGTTTAATTTTTGAATAAGCAGTTCATGATTGAGAAGATCAAAGGCTTTTGCTAGATCTAGAAACACTGCCCCAACAAGATCGCCATCATCAATGGCTTTAAGCCATTTATCCAATAAAGCTGTTAATGCAGTTTGACAAGAATGGTTTGCGCGAACGCCTGACTGCATTCCATACATTAAGTTGTATTTATTAAGATACTTTACTAAGTGTGTTTTCACATGTTTTTCGAGGATTTTAGAAATGAGTGGTAAAATTACAATTGGTCTGTAATTAAAAACATCCTGTTTTGAACCTTTGTTCTTATAAACTGGTATGACTTTTGCCAGTTTAAATGAAGATGGAAACATACATTTTTTAATACTTAAGTTAAAAATGTGACAAAGTGGTAGTGAAATAGCATGAGAAGACATCTTTAAAAACTTTGCACTTATGTTATCAAGACCTGTTGCTTTTGATTCATCTAGTGCTTTTAGTTGTAAACACACAAAATCATTACTCATAAGTGGTATAGAAAAATACACATTATCTGGTACATGACCCGATATGAAATCATCAAGTTTGTTAAAAGAACTATTGTTGCTGTTTTGATTTATATTAAGATTATCTGTGATATTTGTGAAATAAGCATTAAATACATCAGCAACGCTTTTCGGTTCTAAAATTTCCTTTTTGTTACAATCACTTATGATTTTAATACTGGGATGATTGTAAGTTCCGCTGACAGTATGTAGGTGCTTCCATAATTTACTACTGTTGCCCTTTTTGTGTTCTATGATATTGGTATAATAATTTTGTTTAGAGTTTTCGATGAGATATTTGACTTTGTTTCTCCAGAGTCTATAACTATACATATCTTTTTTCTTATGATAAAAATCACGTTTTCTCATGCTATCTAGAATTTCATCATTCATCCAATCATTTTGATACAAACGTTTTACTCTCTTTTTAATGAGTGGAGCATGATGATTTAATACTTCAGTAAAAATATTTAAAAATGACAACAATGCTTCTTCGGGGTCATCAATTTCTAATTCACTATCAAATGAACACTGTGATATGTGATTGATAAAATCATTTTCATTAAAATGTTTAGTAGATCTGAACGTAATATATTCATGAATTTTCTTTTTCGATTTTAACCCTCTTTTGTGAGAAATGCATACTGGATAATGGTCACTGATAGAATACTTTGGAACAGAAAAAAAATGAATAATATCTGGTTCATTACTATAAATATGGTCTACCATGCATCACACACATGCGAATTGACACTCAATGTTACAATATAGAATAGTACACAATTGGTAAAATTACTGATCTACGATCGTGAAAGCATATCACTATTGAATTGAGACTACGATGGATCCTATTGGTTAACCAATTCGTGAAAGTAACCGTAAAACTTAGTTGTCGTGTCAATTTTAGTCGTTCTTCCTCATAATTTTGTTAGAGCAGTTCTTGGAGCAATCCATGTTAATGAAGTTCGTAAATCGTGAACATGCACGAGCAAACATCGGTAAAGTGTTTCATATTTAAGAACATGCATATATGAAAATAAAAATATGACTTTGGTAAATGTAACAGTTTTTCATCTGCTGAATGGTTTTGATTTTCAGCATACTAAAATAGTTCTTGCAAATTATGAAAATCATGACATTCAATGATTTATCGCCTTCTGATATTAAATTGGTTTTATTTTCGTAAAATTTTACCAACTTAAATTATTAAACAGACTTTACATCAGCTGCTATTATTACATTTGCAGTTTTTTTGTCATTTATAAAGATTACCATTACCATTTCCACTTTCATTACAAGTACCCAATATAATGCAACAATAATTTAACAATGGAATTATATAAAGTATTTAAATAAATGATACACATCTTTATAGGTAAAAACTTCGGTATGTTTTGCAATACTTAGATTTTATTTGATATTACATAAGACATTTTATTCATTTTGTTACATCCAATTTAAATTATTGTCAATAGATAAACCATGGAGTTTTTCACAATTTATATTGTCTTTACTTTCACCTGAAACATACAAGTTATCTTTCTTGATCGAATACTCATAGATTTTTAGAACTTTTATGACATTTCAAGAATTTCTGTTAAAAATAATTTTTATTATGTTTTAGTTTATTTAAATTTCTTATAAATATTATAATACATTACAGGTTTCAAGAAAAAGAAGCAACATAGATTCTACAGATGTGTTCATTCTCGACATGGGCGCTAAAATATTTCTTTGGTATGGTAAAGGTTGCAACAAGGACGAAAAAATTAAGGTATAGTAATGAATTACATTCACACAATGAAAGGTTTCTAACACTAAAGTATATCATAACTGTGTTTGACTGTATTATTCTTGAAAAGCCAACATTTTCAGTAGCTAAAATGGTGATACATACCGAAACTAAAGTATATAACCAATATTTTCCTTGATTATCTATGTATCACGTGTTATCATTGCATTTATGTCACTCAATTTTCTAATCAAAATTGTAAACCTGTCTGCTGAAGTAAGACAAGAACATGAATAGATTCATCTGAACTGTAAAAAAGTATCTTAATATCGACGGAAATGATAATTATTAACAGTAAATAGCAATATTAAGGCTTTTAGATAGAACAGGGCATTTTACAATCAAAGATATAATATATGTTTTGATATATATGTAAGTCGAAAATACACCATCCAATTCTTGCCAAAAAACAATAGACAACACAACTCCACAAATTACTACAATTGAGCAACCCTTACTCTAAATAATCACTTAGATAAACTGCTTAACTATAATTTTACTCCTGTGAAATTCTGATTAGAAATAAGAAGCTACTTATACGATACTATAATAAGACATCGTCAGTTGCGGATCGGTAAATGTGAGGTATTTTTGTCCATATGCAGTAAATATACTTCCTGTGGGTACTACAGGTAAATCATGTTTCATCAAAACTAAAATCAATTCAGATATATAATGTATTCTCGCTTAAAGTTAGTTTGAAGATAAACATATCTTTCAAAGATCGATTTTCTCAGAAATGTGACTGTAAATTACTGTTTCCAAATGATAATAGTTAGAAGAGTTTCCAGAAATTGGACAGTATATTTCTATTCTCTATTCTAGATTTCTTCTACATTAAAAGGTATGAAGTTTAAGAAAAACTATAAGTTGCAAGGGGATAAGTTTATTGTATTCGTAAATTGCGTCAAGGTTTTGAATTGTTCCTTAGAAATTATAAAGATGACAATCTTTAAAAAAATAAATCTTCAAAAATCAACACAAAAAGTTCGAATTCCAGGGTTTGCAGTATGTTAATTTATTAAAAGATGAGAGAAGTGGGAAGAGGACTGAAACAGAAATTCTGGAAGAATTAACAACACGAAACACGGTGAGAAGCCATTTGTAATTGTCTTAATAATTTTTTCCTTTAAAGTCCCTTTGGTATTCAAATATTTATACACCCTTGGTTTTCAAATATTTGAGTTTTGGTGTTCCTGGTGAAGCTTGACCCGGAAAAGCGGTTCGAACACAAGCAATTTATAAATTGTAATTTTAATGTTTGTTAATACACGTTTGGTATCGATTTAATTGTAAAAGACACGTTCTTTTAGAAAGGCAATAACAAGGTTGGTTTTCTTAAGATAAAATTATGGACAATTTGAATTGTGTAATTTATGATCAACGTTGCTATCTTAGTAGTAATAAAGTTTCTTATTGATTTAGAAACAGAATTTACAATTTAAACATATCATTCAAATCAAGGTTGGAAACGTGATGTTGGTCGACGGTACCCCGGTAAATGACAGTTCGCTAGGAGTTCTCAACGGCGCTTTTTTTTTCTTTTTTTTTTTAAAGATTTTGTATTAAATATTGTTAATATTTAAATTTATGTTCCCTTATCTACTGTTTTCTTAATTCTATCCATTCGTTCTTACAATACTTGTAGTTTATACTTGTTGCCTCTGTACTCTACGGACGGTGAATAGGGAGCCTTTCCATGCCCAAATCACATGTGGTAGCGGTACTAACCATGTGGTAGGAAATAAACAAATGATAACGATTTATATATTTTTATTAAAAAAAAATCAGAAACCCTATTAAGACCTGTTTAACACAATAAGTGACGGAAATTAGTAGTAGTGTTTATTATATTTTTGTAAACTTTCGCACGTATCGCACGCATATAAGAATGACTTGTGTAAAGTGTTGCTTATTCGGTCTCGTTTTTACAGGACAGGCATATCCGACTATATTTACCCGATGGAGTTTTATGTTTATTATCATTTATGACGATGATATAAAAAAGTGATTAATGGACTGTTAATGTAGCTTATTGCAGCAAACGTTTATGACAAAACAATATGATATCCAGGTCCTTAAAACGCTTACTATATAACGAGAGCAAGGTCTTTTACATCAACACTTCAACGCATTTTTATTCCTTGTTGGATCAAATGCAAATACAAGTGCAAATATCTAGGTTCCTAATTATATGAACCGTGGATGGCATTTCAGTTAACATGAATCACAAAACAAAAAGCAAACTGGCGACCCTTTTGTTGAAAGTTAAAAATTTCGATTGCCGTCCTTCAGTTTGCAATGGATTTAAAATTTCAAAACATTGAACTGGCGACACTTTTGTTGAAAGTTATGATTTTGAATGTCGTTCTACAGTTTCCAATGGATTCAAAATTTCAAAACACTGTATACAAATTATGTATTGCTTGCATAAAGAACATGTTTTACCATTTCTCAACATTTTAGCACAAATTTTACAAAGCGTTAGATCAGGAAGACGAAGACGACTTTGAAAGCAGTTCAGACTTTGTGTCAGCAAAAACAGAAAAAGAACTATATAGGTAACTTTGAGTCACATATGACGTAGAATAGATTGAAAAAGACATAATGAAAAAATGTTATAAATAGTCAATTACATATACATTTAACAAAAATTCTAACTTTTAACAAATAGCATTTTTTTGCAAATTCTCAAAACACTTATACACTTTAGGTATTGAGCGAATATGTATTGAAAGCACCCACACTTGAAAGAACTTCTCCTCTTGTTTTGGCCATATTTTGTTATTATGTATCCATTTTCTTATGTTTTAGGTTGTCTGATGCATCCGGACAAATGACAATGTCTTTAGAAAAGACAGGTCATGTGCAACAGAATGACTTAAAGTCAGATGTAAGTACAACGTTAAAAGGATAAAAACTTAAATGATTAACTTCAACCAAATTATCTGCATAATTGAATGACATACTTCAAAAACTCAGATATTTAACTGCTGTCATTCCCGGATGATAGATGAGAAGTGCTCATTTCGTTAATTCCCATCCACGGATGGTTTATGTCTACTAAAGTTTTGCCAGTATTTCATTCAAATTCTACCATTGTAGGATGTATTTATTTTGGATACACAGGAAGAATTATTCGTTTGGATTGGAAATTCTACAACATATGCTGAGCGTAAAAATGCTATAACCTATGCGCACGTGAGTGTAAAAAATAAATAAAGTAAAATGAAAACTATTGTTATGACGATTTCAAATGCTGGAAAGACGTTTTTTTAAACACGCAATGTGGAATATTCTGTCAATTTCAGTCATGGTGTTACTCTTCATCATTTTTTTAATAATGAAAAATAAAGACGATTTAAGAAAATATGCAGGACCAGTTGATTCCAAACTTTAGTTAAATAAAACATTGATAATTATCATTGAATTTCATTCAGCTGCAAAACATACTCTCACCATATGCAATATTAACTTTGAATTTATCTATTCAAAATGCTGGGACAATTTCTAAAGTACAATAATCCACGTTATCTTAGATGCTCATTAAAAATAACAAGATCAGAGTTTGCAGGAAATTGCAACATCATTTATTACCAATTACATTTAAGCAGTAAATGGACAGTTTAAGATAAGCCATTTACTCTCAAAATCACAGGCTAATGCTATAATACGATTTAAATAAGTCTGTAAACTGCAAATTTGTTATCTAAGCGCAGCGAAATCTGACATACAACAAGCTACTTATCCTGTATATCAAAAGTAACGCTACCAACGTTCAGTGCAAAACTGCAACAAATTACATGTATTTACAGCCTTGATATTTGAACTATTGTACAGCTTTCAACAGCAGTGATGATTCAAATTATGTAGACAATGCACACCTGAAATATACAAACAAAACCAAACAGTAGTATTGTCCAAACACATTGCATAATAATCCGAATAAAGGTAGGGTGGGCGGGTTTGATGAAGATATTTTTCTTTGGCTAAAAAGTGTCTGCCTTTTGCAAATGTTGATGTCGAAAGGAGGACTACAGGTAAATCAATCGCTTGCGAAAATTGATAATCCAACTAAAATGCAATAAAATTGAGAATGGAAATGGGGAATGTGTCAAAGAGACAACAACCCGACTATAGGACAGAAAACAGCCGAAGGCCACCAATGGGTCTTCAACAAAGCAAGAATATCCCGCACCCGGTAGCGGGCTACAGCTTGTCCCTAAACAAAATGTGTACTAGTTCAGTAAAAATGGACGTCACTCTAAACTCCAAAACATATAAATGAACTTAAATTAAAAAAACATACAAGACTAACAAAGGCCAGAGGCTCCTGACTTAGGACAGCCGCAGGCGCAAAAATGCGGCGGGGTTAAACATGTTTTGTGAGCTCTCAGTCCTCTCTCTATACCTCTAGCCAATGTAGAATAAACAAACACACAGCAATACGCACAGTAAAACTCAGTTCAAAAGAAGTCCGAATCCGATGTCAGAATAGGTGACAAAAGAAACTATGCAAAATGACGATGACACATAAATTAACAACGGACTACAAGCAGTTACTGACATGCCGGCTCCAGACTCAATTAAACTGATTAAAGATTATGTCTCCATCATATGAAAATTAAGCACAATCCCTCCCGTTAGGGGTTTAGTATCTACCGTCATAAAATATATGAGAAGAACATAACCCGTATCATGCAAACAACTGGTTTTAGAATATATGTGTTTATTTTCGATGCAAAGACCCTATGAGTGAATCAATACTAATACCATAATATGCTATCTTTAATGACCTGACAACAGTATTGTAAATATATCCCTTCTGAATAAGTCTGTTTAAAGGTTTGGTTAGCTTTTGAGGTGAATGCCGACATTTTTGTGCTTTGTATAGAATATTACCAAAAAAGATTGGATGTGAAATACCTGAACGTATAAGATGTCTGCATGTTGATTTATATTTTTTACTTACGAAGAAGTTTAACGGACATGATGGCATGAGCACACTTGCTAACTGATTTAAAATTCAGATTTTAAATTCTTGTATGCACACTAAATCTAATACTTCTTTATAACAACAAATAGTAGTCTTTGTAGAGTGAACATTTCAAGTAATACTTGTGTGACTGATAATACAAAACCATCAGTACACGATAATAATAAAACGTTTTGACAAACATTAAATCACAATGAAATTATGTTTATTGCACTGTATATATTGATTATCAGTTGTACAGTTGTAATTGTTTTATCTAAAGTTGGAGAATGTAATTGTCAGTACACCCAAAAATAACAAAACTTTCGTAATAATTAAATTCACGAGTATAACAAGTTGTTATGAATGGCATTTTAAATGATTTGCTCTCTATTTACCTCAGAATATCATATGACTACGTAATATTACATAAATAAAGCGGCCAAACTTTACTTAAACAACTTTAAAGTTCATTAATCGGATTGTTAATGTGCGATGCGTGAATACATGACTGAATACACCCTAAAGCACACTTTCTTAATTTGAACTCGTTCATACTTTTTCAGAACTACTTGAAGAACACCGATCACCCATTAGTTCCTGTAAGCTGTCTTACTGAAGGGAAAACAACCGAGGCTTTCCAAACTACAATAGCCGCTTAGATAACAGTAGATAGATACTTTACTTTAGATACTTTATTCTCTAAAAACTAAACACAAGTTTACAGAGAAAGTATAATATAAATACAAATACAATAGTTGATAAACGGATGCAGTACGATAATGTAAAATGAAGTGCAACTTTATGATGACATACATGTATAATAAACGGTTAAACTAAATATGAAGAAATCAGTCTGGGGCTTTACGTTTACGTGGAGGGACTAAACTTTTTATTAATACACGTAATGAGTGAACACAGTTTTCTAAAAAATGATTGTTTTTTATAATTAAACAGTGAGGAAATTAACATTATATTTAGACTGTGTGAAAATTTACTTGGAAGAAATATTTTTCGTTCGATCTGCAATTGAAAACAGCAAAAGAAATAATGAAATTCATCACCTGTATAGCCGGAATTACATAAATTTAATTTCCTTTTACTATGGTCAATGTTTTGCCATCTCCCTTTTTCTTTAGGCAACGCATGGGTACCAGCCCTAAATCTACATAAAATACAAAAAAAGTTTGTCATCTATACATTTTAGGGAATTTCTGTTTGTATTGGTCAATAAGCCTCATTGTGATGCTCTTAATCAGCCATTTTGAGAAATGTCCATTTTGTAGTTGAAAAATATTTGAAAATCCACACGTTTAGAATATCTTGAACATTCATGGTCCATTTAATATTTTCATTTTTACAGTGTGTTGATAGAGCGCAATCGTGTAAATCATTGACGACAGTATGTTTTCGTCTGAACATAGTTTGCACCAAAACTATAATATTCTACATTTAATACTGATTTCAAGTGGGTATCTGCCCGTTTCACCATACACAATAGTGTAGGTTGATGACTTTTGAAGGTGCAATATATGTTTCAAAACTTTCAGGTGAACCTGGCCGATGATATCATTCTTTTCATTTCCTCAAACTTCATATCCGGACAGTAAGATCGGTTTTACTACTTTTTTTTTAATAACTCCATACATGGCTTTCGTTGCTTTTTTCGGCTATTTTTTTCTTTGATTAAGTAAAGGAGGGACGAAAGATACCAGAGGGACAGTCAAACTCATAGATCGAAAACAAACTGACAACGCCATGGCCAAAAATAAAAAGACAAACAGACAAATAATAGTACAGATGACACAACATAGAAAACTAAAGACTAAGCAACACGAACCCCACCAAAAACTGGGGGTGATCTCAGGTGCTCCGGAAGGGTAAGCAGATCCTGCTCCACATGTGACACCCGTCGTGTTGCAATATGTTATTACAAATTAAAAGTTCCTGTCCTGGCATGAATTATTTCCAAATAATTTAACTCCTTAACAATTTCTAGGTTTATTCCATTATATAAGAAATGTACGTTGTTAGGGTGTCTCCCCTATGAAAAGATCATCACTTTTGCTTTTGCCACATTCACTTTTAGTTTCCAAATATCACAGTATTCGCTGAAGATATTTAATTGTTTTTGAATATCATCTTTTCTCTCTGACATAATAATGGTATCATCGTCATAAAGAAGTATAAACAATTTTAGGTACATGCCGAGACAATTTTTAAAACTTTCGGATATGAATGATAAGCGAGTTATATTTTTACTTAGAAGGTAATCCGTTAAATCATTAATATATAGTGAAAATAATAATGGTGATAGGTTTTCACCCTGTCTAATGCCAGTATTGCAAGAGAAAAAAATGAAGATTCATTGTTATATGTTATCCGTGTGTTGATGTCATTATACATATTAACAATAACGTTATGCATTTGGCCTGTGATGTACTTTAGATTTAGTTTATACCAGAGCCCATTTCTCCAAACAGTATCAAATGCTTTCGCAAAGTCTATGAAAACGCAGAAGAGTTTCTTTTTACGTTTTTTCAACATTTCAAAAAGACAATGTAAAATAAATATCTTATCAGTAATGGAATAATTTTTCCTAAATCCACTCTGCTTATTATGAAGAAGAGAAAAAGATTCAACAAAGGTTGACAGTTTTTCGTTTAAGACAAGACGTGAATAATTTCCCAAAACAACTGAAAATTGGAATTGGTCTAAAGTTATTCGGATCCTCTGCATCTCCTTTATTTTTATACATAGGGTTTATATTTCCAGTGAGCCAACTCTCTGGTATAATTCCAGTATCCAAAATTAAATTGAACAGTTTCATACAGATGTTTATCATTTTGCCAGCAGTTGATTTTATGTAATCAAAATAATAAGATTATCACCACTGGATTTGTTGTTCTTAGGCTTATTTATACATTTCAATATCTCTTCTGCTGTAATAACATCATTTATGATAACGTTCGACTCATTCTGTACATTGATATCATTTTGTTGTGTGCTTCCGCTTTCGTCGACGGTATTTGTTTCATTCAATTCTTTAAAGAAATTGTATAAAATTTGTATAGGTATATTTCATTTTGGCTGTTTTTGTTTACCGTTCAGTAATTTCCAATATTCCCTTGGGGTTTTTTATCTCATTTTTTTCATTTTATTTTTCAATTTGGTTCTATATTTTTTTATACACATATTCAAGGTCTTTTTATACTCTTTTTCACGTTTCTTTTTATTTCTTCTATTTTCTTCTTATTTGCTTAGTCTGTATAATCTATGGGTACGCGTTGTGTCTTTCCTTTTGAGTCTGCATTCAGCATCAAACCATGGTTTATTGAATTTGTTTTGAACTGTATGTTCTTTTTTCTAATTTTTTTTTGGATTGTAAGTTCCAGCCGTATGTTTTGCGGCATTGACAAATATTTCACCAATATCTTTCACAGTATTATTAATAGTATTCAGGTTGAACTCTTCATCTGTTAGTAGATCCAAAGCAGTATCAATAGCTTCAATTTTTGCAAGATCTAAGTATCCTTTAAATTCATCATTTTTATCTAAATTCCATTTCTATTTTTTTTCTTTTTGATGGATATCCGTTCGGGGGTCACATGTATTACATTTATTGGGTATGTTTATAAAAATTTCCAAAGGACAGTGGGCGTCGGAAAATAAATTACTAAAATGTTACACATCGGAGTTTGAAATAATATTAAGGAGGTCTATAATTGTTGCCAAGAAATGGTCTACTGTAGCCGCATTTTGACTTGAAAGTTTACCGGCAATGTTATCACCTATTCTTCCGTTAACAATATACATACCAGTGTATCTACATAAATCCAGGAGAAAATTACCATAGTTATTCTTTGTTTTATCCATATTATTCCTAGTACTCGGTTTATTTTCCTTAACATACATATTTATTACCAGAAATATTTTCTAAAATATCATTTTCGATCTCTCGAAAAGAATCAGAGGAACTATATCTTGTATTTTCCGGCGGAATATAAACCAAACCAAGTCTAGTTTAGGGTATTGGAATGAAATTTTGATCCACATGACAAAGTTACTTTCATTTTCTATTTTCCGAACATATTTTGAAACTATTCCTTATAACACATTATCATGCCACCCGATCTTCTATTTGATAAGCTAAATCTGTTGTTGTTTTTTTTTTTCATTTTGAAAGTATAGCAAAGCAATGAAACAATGCTGACAATGTTACAAGTGCAATATGTCAAAACAAAACCGAAGTTTATACATTACATAATTATAATACATTCGCAGTTTCATAAATTGTACAAAAAAAAAATGTTACGAGCTGTTATGTTTACTTTCACACCAGAACGAGAAATTTAATTCATATACACTAAGATTTACATCATATTTTTATTCAAGATATTATTAAATTCCGGAAGCAATTTTCCTAATCTTTTGAAAAAGAATGCATATCAAACAAAATAAATTTGTGGTGCAGCTATATTTAGACAAAAATGTATAATCCAATTCTTTTTGTTTTAAATATTAATAAAAGCGGAATTTTGAAATAATATTTCGGTTATAAATATTCAGTTTGGCCCAAATTTGTCGAAATAAGCTCAAAAGCATCGCTGATGTATTATTGACTTGCAAGTCAATAATTTAACCTCATGTGAATCCGTATTCATGTGATCTTTGATTTAACCACTTAGCTGGAGATGGGTTACGCATCTTTTAGGCGTGTTCAGCTATTAAAAGGAAAAGAATGTCAACACTGAAAGTATTTATGAAGCATTTCGTTGACTCATTCGATCCACGAAAAATCGTTCTTATACATGTGAAAACGATGACTATCATATCTTTTTAACCTGAATTCAAACAGACCTAGAAAAGTCCAATTGATTGTGCTAGTATGTATTTATATTTACATTTATGTTCATATCAGATAACATGACTGTCGGCAATCTTCGGATGTCATCTCGATTGTTTATTAGAAGGCCTCTTGACTAAAATACTGCGGATACATTTTATCCAGTCCATGCATTGTTAATTGTTTATCTTAGATTTTTTAAAATTTGGGTATACGTTTTAGTTGCACGCTAGTATTTTCTGGCCCATAGGGATAATAATAGCATTTTTAGAATTTTCACTACTTTCTTACACTGCCCCAACCCTACACACACATAAAATTTTATCATGCAATGAATACAAAATTAACAAATTTCTAAAAATTTATTTTCACCTGTTTGTAAAATTATTTCATATTTTTCTACACCGGATTCATTCCTCAGCTTGGGAAAGTATGTTCAGTAGAAACTGTATTTTTTTCCAATCACAGTGTTCAGATACATTGACTTAATCAGGAAGATATACTGTTCCCAGCTTAAATGCACAAAAGAGCAACCTAAATTCCGGAATGTAAATACTACCGTGCCCCCTTTAATATGTAATAAATCAATTCTGATAATGTCAGTCAAATCGGTGAACTGGAATTTGACTGCTATTGCCCTTTTAAACTCATATTAAACGAGTTTCTTGTACCAAATGCATGCATGATACTAAACTTAGTCCTGTATGCACGTTTTTTTTTCTTAACATTTATTACGAATCTATATAATGTATTTTCGACAAATAATATTTCATTCAGTGATTGTTTATCACAAGCTAATTAATTGTCGAGGTTTATGCCGAAGTTTACCGCATCGTGACATTGATAAACAACCAACACAATGCACGTGGAGCACGTGGAAAATAAGTGAATTGATAGAGCCATGATATCTGTTTTAATATTTTCTATGCGTTCCCATTTGTTAATCAAACTTTTCTTGAATAGTTGTTAAATGATTTGGGGTATTTAATATGTTCTTTAAGAATCAGTTATTACATTATTATTTACCTTCCAGTGCACGTTTGTTTACATTCTTTCATCACGGTTTTCCCCTCGTAAGGCAAATAATAGTACGGGAAGACAATATTTCAATTCTAGTACATTTATGAAAACTTTTGATAATATAAAGGATTTTCTTTTACTAGAAAGTTCGCGTACACTTGTTTTATAGTAAATCTTAGCTATTCAAGTATATAAGACATATTCAACTTTCATATGACTTTAAAAATCATCTGTTTAATCGTTGACATATTTTTCTGGGTCCGATTGTTCAAAAGTGTCGTTAAAGTCAACGACGATTAAGCCTAACGAGTCGTAATCTTAACGCAGTTGTTATCTAATCACTGCGTTAAATATTGTTTTTCCTCGTCACATGTTGGCAATTTGATAAATTCATTCTGCCTCCTACACAATGCAGCTGTTGTTTCTTTCACAACCCTTGACACTGTGCTTATGTCCAACCCTGTAAAAAGAAAACAAGAACAAATTGTTATTAAACCATGATGAAATTTATATTTGGCAGAATAAATATTGACATTAAAAACAAATAAAATTATACAAATATAATAATATAATCAATTAAAATCTTACAAAGTGTGTCTCCAATAACCTGCAGGAAACTTCCACTGGCCAAAAATCACAGTGTTATCATGACTTGCTGTTCAACAGAGAGTGCATGATTTCTCTGCGTCCCTCTCTGTAAATTATCCCTAACCAGGTATAATAGCACTAAAATACTGCGTCTGCCAAATCTGTATTATACCCTTAGCTCCTACCATATAAATCTAAAGATAACGCATATTTGTTGCGAAAATGTCGCGGTCTTCTTTGGTGAGGAACATTGTGTATTGTAAAGGCAGTCATGTTTATCGCAGTCGTTAGTATTTAATCATGGGTAAAAAAAATTGATTAAATTTAGCGAGATTTTGACACAAAAGTTAACGATATTATTTTGGAACAACACTTAACATTCTCGTTAAATTTTAAAGACACGTTAACGACATGTTAACGCAGTCGTTAGGATGACGACACTTTTGAACAACTGGGCCTTGTAGTAAAAACTCCAAATCTTCATTTCAAACTTTTTGTTAAATGCCACGAATTGTGGAAATGTTTTGTTCTACAAAAAACGCCCGAATAACAGATGTTATCTTCTGTGGCATTACAAATATCTAGTTTATATTTATTCCTAATACTTTGCCAATATTTTCGAATTTGTTCGTAAAAATGTTATAATTTTTTATTTTGTTGTTATTGTTTCACTTTCATCTGCATGTTGAACTAACATCGGCATGTTGAACTATCATCTGCATGTTGAACATGTTTTATGGGCTCCTTTTTTATTTGAAATGTGTATGCTATTTTGAAAAGATTGCTAAACATTTTGCATATATATGTATTGTAATGGCATTTGAAGGGTAATGTAGTAATATAAGATTTCTTTTTTATTTCTTTTGACATTTTTTTCTACATTTATAAGATTCTTACATCAGGATTGAAGTAAAACATGTTATATTCAGTAGGAAAAACTGTGATGTTACACTATGAGGTCAATAAGGTTTCATGGGAAATAACTACCCACCTCCTTTTTAGCTCACCTGGCCTAATGGGCCAAGTGAGTTTTCTCATCACTTAGCGTCCGTCGTCGTTGTCCGTCTTCCGTTAACTTTTACAAAAATCTTCTCCTCTGAAACTACTGGGCCAAATTTAACCAAACTTTGCCACAATTATGATTGGGGTATCTAGTTTAAAAAATGTGTCCGATTACCCCGCTTGCCAACTAACCGGCTGCTATAGCTAAAAATAGAACATAGGGGTAAAATGAAAGTTTTGTCTATTATTTTGAAAACCATTA